GCTACCTTTCTGTTGCAACTTGTGGTTACAAATTGTTCACTCTCCTTGCTGTATAATATCCCATTGTGTGACTATCGCAACTTATTTATGGAGTCAACTTTTTTTTTTTAAAGATTTTATTTATTTATTCATGAGAGACGGAGAGAGAGAGAGAGGCAGAGGGAGAAGCAGGCTCCCAAGGAGCAGGGAGCCTGATGTGGGACTCGATCCCAGGACCCTGGGATCATGACCTGAGCCAAAGGCAGACGCTTAACCATCTGAGCCACCCAGGCGCCCTTTAATCATTTTTTTGTTTTTTTTAAAAAAGATTTTATTTATTTAAGAGAGAGAGAGCATGAGAAGGGGGAGGGTCAGAGGGAGAAGCAGACTCCCTGCTGAGCAGGGAGCCTGATGCGGGACTCGATCCGGGGTCTCCAGGATCATGACCTGAGCCGAAGGGTGTCGCTTAGCCAACTGAGCCACCCAGGCGCCCGTAGGAGTCAACTCTTAATAGACATTTGAATGGTGCTGCCATGAACTTTCTAGAAGATGTATCAGAGTGCACAAATGTACTCATTCTTCTTGGGTATAACCTAGATTGAAATCGTGGATCATCAGGTGTGTGTGATGTTCAGCTTTAATAGGTACTGCCCTCACTTTCCTGATGACAGAAATGGAAGTACAGAAGGGCCAGTCATTCATCCAGTCACCTAGCCACTGAGCCAGGACTAGAACCTGGGTTTGCTCTCTCCCAGGGTGGTATGTCTAGCTCTAGATTTCAAGGAGAGACTGACCTAGAGATTCAATAGAGTCTCACAGCAACACACATTTCATTTATGAGCTGTCCTTCCCATTAAACCTTGGGTTAGATGAGACCAATGACCAAGCATGAGAAGGGCGGCTCCTCAGTGGGGCCATAATTATAGACACCAATTTACAGTGACGGAGCTGGTGCAGGGTCTTCTCTGCATCTTATCAAAGAACAGCATGAGGTGTGTGTCCTTGATTAAGCAGGACTTAGATTCAGTCTATTTCAGTGCCAGACCCTGTGTAAGATGCTTTCCCGTGCATCAACTCATTTAATCTTCTGAGCAGAACCAAGTCATATCCATAAGGACTAGAAACACATAATATCAAAAGAGAGTGTCTGAACTCTGTAAGCACCCTGGGGCAATTTGGACCAGCACTTTCCAAATGATCTACGGTGAAGGACCAATCCATCTCAGACAAATATTTTTGGAAAATACAGTAAAAAAAGAATTATCAAAAAAATAAAATGAAAAGATATTCCAAATATAAGCTTCCAATTTTTATTATTATATCAAACAAATATAAAATTGCACTGCTAAATTCCTACAAAAGTTTCTAGACACTCTCAATTTCTGTATTTATATCATAGAGGACCAATAACAGTTTGCAGATCAATACTGGTTTTCAGACTACACTTTGAGGGGCACTGATTTATAATTCACCACTCATTCCCTAGTGGGAATCTCTCTTTCAAGAGAGACTGATAATTATCTTAGAAGCAGGAAGGTTTGTAAACAAGACATCTGTAAAATACGTAGACCCTGGAAACCATTCACATCCATACAGTTTCTGTTTACATTAATGGGACTTCACCATTTCACTGTCTTTATCAATATCACTATTCCAAAAATATCTTTCACGGAAAGATAAGAGTTACAAATAACTTCACTGTGGGTGCCTGGGTGGCTCAGTCAGTTAAGTGTCCGCCTTTGGCTCAGGTCATGATCTCAGAGTCCTGGGATGGAGCCCCATTTCGGGCTCCTTGCTCAGCAGGGAGCCTGCTTCTTCCTCTGCCCCCCCACCCCACTCCACCCCACACCACCCGTGCTCATGCTTGCTCGCACACTCTTTCTCTCAAATAAATAAATAAATAAAATCTTAAAACCAAACAACTTTATTGTGCTTTTCAAGACCTTCTTCCAAAACCTTACTGAAATGAACGTAAAACCTTTAAACTTTTCAATAGCATCAGAAAGATTATTTACTCTCCAAGATTCTTTAAAAGATTTGCCTTTTTTACCTAACAATCCTAAACTATATGATCCTTAGCCAAAATTAAATAAGCACTCCCTCAGTGAAAGACCTGCCTTAAACCAGATTCCAAAACCTTATAAATATCCCCCACTTTGCCCTCTCCCAGTCCAAGATTCTATGCAGACTCTGCCAAGGCAGGGCTCTTCTTACCATGGTGTACAATAAACTCAAGCTTTGTCTTCTCCACAGCTTATTTTGCTGGTGTTTTCTGAGAGCCAGCTTTCAACAACCAAGACTTTGTTCCTCTTTTTTAGTCTTGCTCAGGTGCTTTCAAACTTTAGCATGCATAAACATTACCAAAGAGGGTTGTAAATGCAGAAGCATGCATGAGCATAATTCAAGAGATCTCCACGTATCATTTTGATCATGCCATATTTAGGACCTAAGCCTTGCCGACAATACCAGCAACTGATGAAGAAAAAAGAACCGCAGGATGTGGGAGCTGGAAGTGGCTCCAGGTGCCCAAATATCAGTGCGTAGATCAGCCCCATCAAATCACCTGATATAATCCCTGTTAAAAAATACCTATTCCTTGGTTTCGCCTCAGGTGTACTGAATCAGAACTTCTAGAGATGGGGCCTGGGAATGTTTATTACCAACTCCCTAAGGAATTGTGATGCACAATCAGTTTAGATAACCACTTTTCTGTTCCCCCACTTTATTTTGTGGATGAAGAAATGGAAACCCAGATAAGTGAGTAGAGTTGGCTGCGATCACGTAACTATTGAGCTGTGTGTCTCCTGATACCCTGACAGGAGTTCACAGGGCTAGAGATCAGATGTTGGAGATATTTTATGTACTCAGTACCCTGAACAAGAATTGTTAGTGATGTAAAACAAAATCTATTTTGGCTTCTCCGTATCTCCTTTAAGATTTATCGAGATGGTGGTTGGCGCTGGGACGGTGTCGTAATCTTTCCTTGCTCCTGGGTGAAAATTTTAGCAGTCAGCATGACTTCTCTGCTTTCTGTTAGGTAAGAGGCATCGGCTAAAGTATAATTTTCAAAAAAAAAAAGTAAGTATAATTTTCCAAAAAAAAAAGGTAGAATTGTGACTCTTACACAAAGATAAAATGAACACATACTCCGCTGAGACTCTATTGGCGGTCTTGTGTGTTACATTTTTGTCCTCAGGAATTATTGCTTGTCAGTTTGCTGATTAGCTGGAGCAAAGGCGGATGTGTTATTTAAAGCTTTAGGAATATGTCCTAGGCAGGAAGCACGGGTTGGCCCTCTGGGGAACTGCAGTGGGCCCTGGGAAGAGATTCAAGGTCCAGGCAGCTACTAACCCAGGGTTTTTCGTAGTCAGACCACCTGGCTTCTTGAATCCACTTCCTTGCTCCCTTGGTTTGTTTCTCTGCTCATCCCCCTGCATGTAACTAAAAAGAACACTCCAGTAATGGAGTCTTCATGAGCATCACTAGTTGCTCGACTTCTGACATGAGTCTCTAGCTTAGTTCTGATTCTTGATTGAGATCATCTGATTGGCTGTTCTTCAAACATTCGCTCTCTTTGGGTCTGGTGGTCACCCAGGGTCAACCAGCTGTAGCTACTTGGAGGAAACAGTTGCCAAGGCGCTGTGTGTGTGTGGGGGGGGGGGGGAGAGAGCCCAGAGAGCCCCAAACTTCAGGGGGGCAAGCACAATAAAACGTGCCTTTTAATCATTTCTAGCAAGAGTCCTTGAATCTTGGGGTTGCTGCCACTCCCCTGCTATCCCAAATGAGTTTGGTTGCCATTCTGTTGCTTTCATTTAGCCAGGATAAGTTTGGGGCGCAGGGCTGTTTCACAGGAGCCCATGGATGTACCTTCCCGTTCATGTTTCCACCAACATTTGTGTGATCCTCCTTTGTACAAGCCATTGAGCTTCTGGAAACGGGTGTTTTGTAAGAAGATGTCTCAGCCCTGCTCTCACGAACTTCAAACTCCTCACCCTGGGATGGGGGTGAAGAGGAGGTTGCCTGCCACAGAGAAGTGTAGCAACATGGATAGGCCTAAGCACATTTTGGTTCACTCTCTTCCCGGAGTGGACTCACGCTCTTTTTGGGCACAAGACATGGCCTAATAACTGCACAGGTAGAAATGCAGGGGAAGAGCGAGCTCCTCACCCACCATGCCGGGCGAAGACACTGGGAGACAGAGTAGCGGGTCGCCGGGCGTCAGCAGCCACTGAACCCCGGATTTGTCCCAGGATCTGTGTTGGGTGCAGAGCCCGGGGAGAAAGTGGCCTCCAGGCTGGAGCGCTCCCAGGCAGGAGGGTCTCACACACACAGACAAGGCCGCACGCCCCGCAAGGGGCAGATCTGGGGCACTCTCCCTGCCCGGGGCAGCGCGGGGGCGCGGGCGCAGGCCCCAACGGCCAGGGCCCCGAGCGCGCAGCTCCTTCCAGGGCGGAGGGCGGCGCGAGGGAGGGAGAGAGGGAAGGGAAAGGCGAGCGTGAGCTGCCTCAAATGCTTGGAATAATTCCGCTTCCGTTTGGAAAGCCGCAGCCTCAGTCCCGCCGCACCGCCCAGCGCCAGCTCCGCGTCCCGGCCGGCCCGCGCGCGGCTGCCCGCTCCGCCGCCATGGCCACGTCCCCGCAGAAGTCGCCCTCTGTCCCCAAGTCGCCCACTCCCAAGTCGCCCCCGTCCCGGAAGAAAGATGACTCCTTCTTGGGGAAACTCGGAGGCACGCTGGCCCGGAGGAAGAAAGCCAAGGAGGGTGAGTGCGGCCGGGCCCAGCGCGCTGCAGGGCCGGGGCCGAGGGCTGGGGCTCCAGGGCCGGGCGGGCGCGCGCCGCGGGTGCCCGACGCGGTGGGGGCGCGCGGCGGCGCGGGCGCGCGCGGCGCGGAACGCGGGGCCGGGGCGAGTGCGGCCCGCGGGTCGTCGCCGCCGCCCAGCTCGGTGGCCGGGTGGCCGGGGTGGCCGGGGTGGGTGCTGCTCGCCAGGGCCTGGCGGCGCGCGGGTGCAGCGGCCCGGGCCCCGGCGCCGGCCGCGCTGGGCTGGGGGCGAGCGCCGCGGGGCCCGGGGAGGCGGCCGGGCCCCCAAGCGGAGGCGGCGTCCTCCCGGAGGCCCGCGCCCCGCCCTCTCGGCGCCCGAAGGCTGGCGTTCCCCAGGTTCCTGCGGAAACTTTCCTGGGCGCCGCGCTCTCGCTCGCTGCCTTCGTTGGCCTTTGAGACCCGCTCGTTTCCTGGACGCACGCAACCCCAGAAGCAGCGTCGGCCTCCGGCTCTCGCATCCGCCCCCAGGGCCCAGTAGGGCGCTATTAATGTTTGTTGAATGAATGAGTGGCTGTCCTAGCGGTCGGGCCCTGTGATAAATGACACACTCGCACTCAAGGGGAAAACCTGGATCAGACACACTTGGCATCGCGCTGTGACCTTTCTGTGAACTCAGGAGTGGAGGGCTCTTTGTAAGAAACACTTTGTTCCCCGCCAGGGTGAATGGAAGTGATCTTATTTTTTTTCCAGGACAATTTGCATGTAAAACACTTCGTCTCACTGGCAGATTTCACATCTTGGCTTTTGGTTTGAAAAATGAAGTGACAGTTCAGAAGAAGCTCTAGTGATGTGTAGATAGAAGTTGCTTGGTTAATGCTGCGTGGTTTGGGAATAGCGCTCTCGAAGGCCGTGATACCGTGGTGTCACGTAATTCCGTGTTTCTGAGTTACCTTAAAGCGTAAAGAAGAACTTCCGTGCTGAGAGTTCTCAAACTTAACACAAAGGACTAAACCTCTACTTTCTGTGTTGGAGTGAGACGCAGCGAAACACAGCTCCAAAAAGGTTTTTTCCCGGTTTGGTTGTTTTGATCATGATAGCTGGTAGCAAATCATGAAATCCAGGCTTGGAAAGCCCTTCGTTACCCTTCTGACTTTTTCCTACTGTATTCCTGGTGTGGGCTCTCCAGCTAAGACTAAACAACTCTGAGTTTCTGAAGCTCATGACCTTCCCGGTGCGCCCAACCCACCTTTGCCAACTCTTCAGAAAAGTTTGTTGTAAAAATACAGAATTGGCTTCTGTCTAGAGAGAGAGACTCTCTAGAGCCAGAAGCCGGAATCTCTGGAGCCAGAAGAATGAGTCTGATGGTAGCCCCTCACTTTTTTCAAGTGGGTTAGCCTGTTTCCTGGAGTCGTCCCTTATTTTGAAAATACTGTCGTGAAGGGACTAGTTTCAGAGGTGAGGGCAGGGGTAAGCGGAGCCAGGAAGGATGGTGAGGAAGCTAGGGGCTAGCGACAGACAGGTGGAAGCTGTTACTACCTCTAGACCTGACGGGGCACGGGGAGCCCACAGAGAGCTGGAACTATGGAAGGGGGGCTGCCGGACAGGAACTGTAGCTACAGAGAGACACAGCGACTGTCAGTAACATGGAGATGGAGCAGGGAGACATTGGCACAAGAGATACTCTGTGTCTTCTCTTTCCTTGCCCTTGAGTCTCTTGTGGGTGCTTCTAGTTGGCTGGACCCAGGGGGAAGTCACCCGGGCAAGGGTGTATGGACAATGCCATATGTAGGGGTCAGCTCCCTCAGGACACAGAGCCGTGCAGCGATCATAGTGGGGATTGGGGGAAATGAAAATAACCAGCAGACCCTTTCAAAGTGAGCTGCCCGGAAGCCCCCATAGTAGTGTGGAAGTCTAGCCCAGCCCACCCAGGTTAGAACCCTTCTCGGTTCTAGCCCAGACACCAGGTTCTAGTAATGCAGCCAGGGCCGCTTTTCCTTATTCTGTCCGTTACATCACACTGTTAGCTCTCATTGAGTTGGCTACCGACTTATTCAAAAACATTTTCATGTCTGTGGCTCCTGAACCATTCCCTTACCTGTCTCAGATTTACTCAATTGGGTTTTTGAAACCAGGTGCAAGATCTTATTTTTATCCTTGCTCTACTTAACTGTTAAGTCCTGATTCTGTCATTCAGACGCTTAACTAATCCAGGGGATGTAAATGGTGAGTTTGCTTCTTCTAAAGGGGCCCACCACCACCCAGCCCCACCTGCTTGCCGCTGTAGGTGGTAGTTCTGCGAGCCCAAAGAAGGCAGCTGGGTTGGTCTGAAATCACCTGCTCTTGGTGAGTGTGTGCTGGGTCTCAGTGATCAATGCTTTGCCTGTCAAGGGCCCACTAATCATCACTTCAGTAACAGTAAGACTAGATCTTGCTCTGGATCTTGCAAAAACTCACAGCTGTGTGCTTTGCAGAAACTGCTTTCTCCTACTTCCCCCCCCCCCATAATATTCTAGAACATGATTCCTCAAGGTCACTGATGTGACCTTGAGCATTGAATTCTCCTGGGCTCAGGGACTGCCATTCATTCACTTGACACCTGTTGTGTCCCACTGTAGAACACAAACATTGGAAAGACATAATACGTGTTAGAATATTTAGTCAATAATTTCATATAACAATATGTCTTCGTACAAATACCTACTACATACATCATAGAATGACTTATAAGTCTCATAAGAATACATTAAAAGTAGTCATCACTCCTGTGTTTTCAATAAGGAAAAATAACCTTAGGAAAAGAGAGGTTAAAAGCATGGTCTTTGGGACCAGACACCTTTGGCTTTGATTTCTGGTCCAGCCCCTTATCTATTGCTATGACTTAGGACAACTTTCTTATCTAAGCTTCTGTTTCTTCATCTATAAAATGGGAATAAAGCATGTAATATGCATAGCATGGTATGAATAATGAATAGTAGCTATTAAAATTGATAGCTCAATGTGACATAGTCCTTAAAATTTGAAATAGTCTTTTCATTATGGACTATAGAAGATTCTACAGGTTCTGCAAATAGCCTAGTAGCTCATGACTCTGAAGCTCTTATGACCCTGCGTTGGTCCCTTTGGAAATTAGGGATCTTTCCTTGCACATCAGATACTCCTATTTCCATAATGTCATATTTCAGCATTTTTTAGAAGATTTTATTTATTTTTTGAGAGAGAGAGTGCAAGCATGAGCATGTGTGCAGGAGTGGGGAGAGAGGCAGAGGGAGAGACTCTCCAGCAGACTTGTGCTGACTGCGGAGCCCCACGTGGAGCTCAATTCCACGACGCAGAGATCGCGACCAGAGCCGAAATCTGGAGTCAGACGCTTAACCAACTGAGCCACCCAGGTGCCCCATATTTCAGTATTTTAGAATATCTGGGCCCATTTTCAGGAGTTGTCGTTAAGTGGCTTTTGTTTTCCTCTGTGGATCTTCTCTTTTGTGGTTCCAGCCTTCCTTTACGCTATACACAGCCCTCTTCTGTGGCTCCTTAGAGTAGCCTTTCAGAGTCCTTAGCCAAAGGGTCACCTTTCATCTTTCTTTCTCTAGATCTGTCCTCAAGACTTGCTCTTTCCAGGGACACCATCTTGCATTGTATTTGCCAACTGGAGGTGCCCTAAGTTGGGTCAGCAGCAATGATTATTCCTATCACTTACCCTTGTATTTATTATCCCTTAGAGTTTTACATTTTGTTCGATGTCCAATGTGTCCAATAAGGGCTTTAACTTAATAATTTTAAAATAATACTAGGACTTACCCCTTTGGTTCTCATTGGCCTCCCAGTGTAACTGGGGAAGATCCCCAAACTGTAACATATTTATGGTTTCGGGAGTGGGGGGATCCCCCAGCCCTGCTGAGCAACTCTCTTCTCCCCGAATCAGCATGCATTCTCATTTTCCAAAGTGCCACCTCAAACCCTCACCACTCAAACTCTTCCCCACACCTTGAGATAGAAAACTGAGTACTAGGTGTGAACTTGTTCAATTTCCCCTTGCTCCCTGAGATCTACACCTCCTTTCATGCTCCTTGCCTACCCTAGTCTCTTCCAAAGAGGTCCCTTGTCCCCTTGTTTGTGAGGCCATTCATTTTGCTCCTTCCCAGACTCGGCATAGCCAAATAGCCTTGCTCTCATGTCCTCAGTCTCTTTCATGCTGCTCTACCCCCCAACATTCTGTAAATATGCTTGAGTCTTTCCCATTTGGAGAAGATCTCCTGATACTGGTTTCTTCTTAATACTCAACTGCAGATCTTGAAAGAGTTGCCTTAATGGCTTTCCCTTGCTTATCTCCTCATCATTTCTTGACCCATTAGCCTCGTTCTTTCAGGAATCCTCTACTGAGCGCCTACCATGTACCAGGCGCTGTGCTGGGATATGGCAGGGAAAATCCAGACAAAAATCTCTGCCTGCATGGAGCTTACATTCTAGCAGTGGAGACAGATAATAAACAAGATCAGTTGGTAGATCATGTGTGTTGTATTAGAGTAGTGACAGGTGCTTTAGAGCAAAATAAAGCATGGCAAGGGAACACGGAGTGTTGAGGGTTGAGAGATGGTTGGCACTGTAAAATGGGATGGCTAGAAAAGACTTCCCTGGGAAGGGTATTTCTGAAAGATCTGAGGGAGGTGAGGGAGCCATATGTGTATCTTGAAGAAGAGCATCACAGGCAGAGGGAATGGCAAATGCAAAGGCCCTGAGGCAGGAGTGGACCTGATATGTGGAGGGCCAGCAAGGAGGTCGCTGTGACTGGAGAGGGTGAGCATGGTTGTGGAAGGTGGTGAGGTCTCAGGGATTAGACGGAGGGTAGATGCGGGTTGTGTAGGGTGCTGGAGGCCATCGTATGCCTGGAGCCTTTACTCAGAGTGAGATGGGAAGGTTTCAGGGGCTTTGAGTAGAGGAATAACATGACTGCACTTGTGTTTCAGCAGGATGGCTCTGGTGAGGTGCTGCATGACTGTGGGGGGGCAGAGGTAGAAGCAGGGACATGAGCTAGGAGGCAGGGGAGAGCGGCGGTGGCCTGGAGTAGAGGGGTGGGCGCTGAAGCCTGGGTGTAGTTTGAAGATGTGGTGGGTAGGATTTACTGAATGGTTGGATGGAAGATGAGAGGAGAATCGAGATGACTCCAGGGATTTGGGTTTGAACAGCTGAAGAGAGAGTGCTTTCACTGAGCTGGAGAAGTCTCTGGGTGAGCTGGTTTGGGGAGAAAGAGGGTGGGGCCTGTTGAATAGAGGGGCCTGCTTCACTTTGCAGCGGCCATGCTGAATTCACAGTTGGTTCCAAGAGCCCAGTTCGGGGGCGGGGGGTGTCTGGGCTAGAAAGTAGAAGAGGTCCAGGGCCTGCGCCCTGAGGCTTTCAAACATAGCGGACCGTGGAGAGAGGATCAGCAGGAGGGGCCATGGAAGGAGGAAAGCAGGAGCGCATCCGCCTGTTCCCACAGTGCAGGCTTTGCTGGTTGAGGGCTCCCAGGACCCACGGTCTCCTTTTCCGTCCTCATTCCACTTGGGCTGTTGGTGGCATTTGACATTTCTTCAGCTCTCTCTGTTCCTCAAGACATCTTCTCCCTTGACCTTATTCACACTGAAATTGTTGCCTATGTCTCTGACTAGTCTTTCTCAGACTCCTTCTTGGGTTGTTCTTGCCTATTTGCCCCCTCAGCAGCATTTCCTGGGGTTCTGACTTCCCGGCTTTGCTCTCTGTTTTGGGGTGGTTTTTTTTTTTTTTCCTCTCCCGTGGATTATCTCACCCACTCCCATGGCTTCAATGACCATCTGCCCATTGATGCTTCTCAAATCCATGTCTTAAGTCCGGATCTCTCACCTGTAGGGCACCCATCTCCTGGGTGTGTCACCCTCCAAGTCCACATGCCCTCGAGGGCATTACTATCCGTGCCACTTGCCCCAATCAGCTTCTCTCCTTCCACCATCCCGCCAGTTGCCTGAGGCCGCGGTCTTCCTCTGTCTTGGCAACCTCTTCTGAAAGGGCAAATAGCAAATATCGCAGACTTTGCTGGCCCCAGCCTGTGCTCGGTTCTGCCCTTGTTACCGTAGACGGGAGGTGAAGGAACACGCATGGCTCTGCTCCAGCTGGACCCTGACATTTGAATTTCATGTAACTTTCATGTGTCACAAAATATTCTCATTCTTTTTCAGTCCTTTAAAAATGTGAAACCCATCCTTAGCAGTGGGGCTGCAAGAAAACAGATGGCGGGCTCGTGGCAGCCCCGGGGCAGTGGCTTGCCCACCTCTGCTCTCTCCTGTCCCTGCACACAGCCGTCTGTCCAGGAGGCCTGTGGATTCCGCCTTGCATCCCCACCTCGGGTCAGGCCCCGGAAGTGCTCTTTGTCTTTTTCAACATTGTTTCTTTCTTTTTTTTTTTCTTTTTTTTTTTAATTTTTCCATTTTTATTTTCTACCTGAAATGTTGCAAATATCCACCCCACTGGTCTCCCTGTCTCTGGGCCTTTTCTGTTCAATCCACCCTTCATTATTTTGCCAGTATACCGTTGTTGTTGTTGTTTTTTATTTTTTTTTATTCTTATGTTAATCCCCATACATTACATCATTAATTTTAGATGAAGTGTTCCATGATTCATTGTTTGTGCACAACACCCAGTGCTCCATGCAGAATGTGCCCTCCTCAATACCCACCACCAGGCTAACCCATCCTCCCACCCCCCTCCCCTCTACAACCCTCAGTTTGTTTTTCAGAGTCCATCGTCTCTCATGGTTCGTCTACCCCTCCGATTTCCCCCGCTTCATTCTTCCCCTCCCGCTACCTTCTTCTTCTTCTTCTTCTTTTTTTTCTTAACACATACTGCATTATTTGTTTCAGAGGTACAGATCTGAGATTCAACAGTCTTGCACAATTCACAGCGCTTGTTGTTGTTTTTTTAACACCAAGGTAATGCCCCCTCAGGGCGTTCAAGACCTCCTCAGCTGCTCCTTAGTCTCCCCTTCTGGTCTTGCCTCTGTTTCCCTTTCAGGAAGCCTCCATTTTAGCTGCACCCAACCGCTCTTTATTCCCCAACACATCACGTTCTTTCACACGTGTTAACCTCTGTACGTGCTGTTCCATATTTCTGAAATGACCTTCTTCCTTTCCCTATACACCAAACTCCTATTCAATCATTAAAACCCAGTTCAGATATCCCCTTCTGCTGGTTGCCTTCCTCGCTCCCGCAGGAAGTGAGCTGCTTCCTTCTCTCATGCCCCCTTATCCGTGGCTCTGCCGTGGCACTGGCCACGTTGCCCTGTGGCCGTCTGTGGGAGTGCATGTCACACGCCACGCTGAGGGCCCCCTTCCCGTAGCCCCCCTGCCCGGCGTAGTGTTTAACACATGGTGATACTGGAGTTTCCATGCGAGGAATTTCCCCATATTTACCTGGGTGAAAATAGCCCCCTGCTAACTGGTTGTGTAATCTTAGGCCTCTTCCTCTTTGTCCATTTCTCATGTCAGTGGATTAAGCTACAGAACCTCTGAGGGCCCTTGCAGCTCTGGTGTTCTGTGATTTCTGAGCTCTCATTTCACCAGGCTTCTCTCAAATTCAGTTTTATTGTCTGTGTAGGGTGGTCTGGGAATGACATCATCACAAAGACCTCTTTCTTTCCTCCACTAATGAAGGCACCTCAGTGTCGGGAGGAGGAGATGGGCACCAGGATAAGCGGGCCCCGGCCCAAGGACACCTCCATATTAGGAGTCCTTGTCTCATGGAATATCTCTCTTTGGTTAACAAGCGCAGTTCGTAATTATGTTTTAGCCATTAGTACAGAAGAGATGAAATCCTCATGTAAACATATGTAAGCATCTAAAATCACTATTCACTGTCATGGAAAAAAGAACACATTTGGGAAAAGCTCTACAACAATTTCAGTAATTAAAAAAAACACTTAAAAATAAAATATACATTTTTAAATTATTCCTTTTTTTTTTTTAAGATTTTATATATTTATTTGACAGAGAGAGACACAGCGAGAGAGGGAACACAAGCAGGGGGAGTGGGAGAGGGAGAAGCAGGCTCCCCGCAGAGCAGGGAGCCCGATGCGGGGCTCGATCCCAGGACCCTGGGATCATGACCTGAGCCGAAGGCAGACGCTTAACGACTGAGCCACCCAGGTGCCCCCAAAATAAAATACTTTAAGGGAGGCACAAACGTTCTGTTAAGTGTTCAGTGTGTTCTGCAGCCGAAATCAGGAAGAAATCCCTATGAAGGTTTTGTCTGAGGCCTAGAGCCCCCAGGACAAGGAGGCCTCCTCTAGCTTAGGCCCTGGACCTCGTCCCTTCCCTCCTTTTCCCTGTGGTGCCTGGGAGGGCAGGGGTTCTGTCCGTCCTGCTCCTGTTTGCACCGCACGTGCCTTGCGTGGTTCCAGATACTCAACAAGTGCCCTACAAAATGGCGAACCAACTGCCTGAATCATCAGTGGGCATCTGACTCCTCCTGAGGGTGTCCCCAGCTTACTTCAAACTCTGCCTAACCTTGAATGACAATCCTGGTCCCCTGCTTTCATCCAGGCCTCAACTTCTGGCTGCACGTGCACGGGTGCGTGTGTATGTGTGTGAGAGATGAAACTGCCTTCTCCCACCAGGAATCTCTTTACCCTTTGTGGAGGGACATTATCACTTAGCCCCACTCTTGACAAGCACGCTAAGGCCCTGGGTCCTAGAATCTATAGGCAGTGATGATACAGTGCAGGCAGGTCCAGGGTGGAGATCCCTCTGAGTGTAGAGGCCTGCGTTTTTGTTTTCATCCAGAAAAGCTTGCTCTGTGAAAATGGCGTTGCATGTTTTCCTGATGGAGCTAAAATGATGACGGGCTGAGGTGAAACAGCCTCTGGGCAAGGTTTGGGGGAGACAAAAGAAAGGTGCAGACCAAAACTGTGCAAGAAATTCAGAATTCCTGTAATTCCCCCGGAGCCTGCTGGTTGCCCTCCCCCGCCTGCCTAGCCCTTCCTGCGCTTCTCCGCTCCATTACTCACTAGGTGCCAAACCAGGGGAATCCATCACCACCACACTCCCCACTCCGGCCCACCCGGAAGGACCTACTAAAAGGAGAGCCTGGCTCGGAGCACAAGCTGTGGATCGTAGCTGCTTCATCTGTGTTCTGGCCCGGAGACACGCGTTTGCACGGAGTGCGGATGGATCGCTATAGGCCTTGCTGAAAATCTGGTTCCACTAGCATTTACTAAGTGATAATTCTGTTTGCTGTGAACACACCAGCCTGCCAACGCCTTAGAAAAACCGTCTTTGTGGCTAGAGACCCTTTGTGGCTAGAGACCCTGTGTTCCCTGCAAACCAGCCTTAGGGAGAAGTTAGGCCGTGGACGGAAGAAGCGGTGAACTTCATCGGTTGAAACAGAAATATTCTCTACTACCACACACTCTTGGGGGAAGGAAGAATGAACCAAATTGCTTAGCATCTAATTTTTTAATAAAAGTAGGGTTTTTTTCCCATTATAAAATTAACCCATGCTTTAGGGATTTACGGGAAAGTAGAAAACAGCCATGCGAATTGCACCTCCCAGAAGCAATCACTGTTAGAATTTTGACTTACTTCGGTCTATTCTTTTTCTTCCTTATAACTTTTTTCCTTTTTATAATTGTAAGTATACCATGTATATTACATAGATAAAAATTCTGTATCTCTATTTTTCATTTATTATATCAATAGATTTTGTGTTGTAAATCTTACCAAACATACTTTTTATAGGTGCATAATATTCATTGAGTGAATGTCCTCTTGCTCACTTACCCATTTCTTTTGATCCTCTTTTTTTTTTTCTAGAAATGATGCTGTCCAAAACTTTTTTAAAAAGGAAGAATAATTTTCTTTGAATGGAGCCCCAGAAGTACAGTTATGGGTCAAAGGGTGACTTTTGGCTTGCTTAACACTGATTGTTTATCACTGATAAACAGAGATTCCTGCTTTTGGGTCTGGGTGGTCTTCCCAGTAGGCTGTTTGAAAGTAAAACCAGCATCGTTAGGCTGGAAGTTTCTGTCTGCTCCTGGCTAATGGGCCCAGGTCACTGAGTTGTGGGATGGGGTGGGGTGGGACGGTGATGGGTCAGGCAAGTGCACACTTCCCTCCTGGTCAGTAACATGTTCATAGTGAGCTCTAGAACAGGCAGATCTTTATTTCAGAACTTTCTCTTGGGGCCATCCTTCCATCCATATGTGGCCTGGTTTATCATCCCAAGTGCCTGCTCTTCTAACAAGGCCCGAGGTGCCTTGGGAATGGTCATCCTTGAAGTCCCCTTGGAAATGGTCATCCTTGAAGTAAGTCACAGCCTCCCCCTGCCCCACTGAGTTCGCACCACTTCATGTGAGACCCAGTGAAGGTTTGGTCAAGGAGTCCCTCCTTGTCTTGACCTCTCCCTCCCTACCTCCCAACTGCTGAATTCTTGGACTTGCCCCACACTTGGTAACCACAACTGGGAGGTCATGACAAGACAGTGAACTGAGGGCGACGATGGACAAATTAAGGTTGCCAGGGTTTAGGGCTCCTTAGGACACATGGTGCTTGCAAGCTGGGTCTCGAAACCAGAGGAAGAAACCCCTCCCCGCCCCAGGCTGACAAGAGGAGGGATAGGATTCGGGAGCTTTCTGAGTTTCTGATGGATTTTGACAAGAGTGGGCTGGGCCGATGCCTCCAGGGCTCAGTTTCCTCAACCTGCATTAGGAGTCAGCAGTCAGGTGTCTCATTTCATCTGCTAAGAGTGGATCTGAGCCAGTTGGAGCACGTAATTATCACACCCAGCACCCCAGGGAGCGTTTCTTGGGCGTCAGTTGTGGAGGCAGACTCCCCCCCCCCGCCCCCCCCCCGGGAGTGGTGTGTCAGGGCATTTATTCATCCTTGAATCATACTCCACTCCCTTCACTCATTCCCTATCTCTTTGAAAATCCAGAGGCCCCTCCCCTCTTCTGTTCTGTGAAAAACCCAGTCTGACACAGGAGTTGTGAACGCGGTGGGTCTCCTGGGGATGATGATGATGTGGGACTACAAAAAAGTGAGGTTGCTGGCCTGTTTCTGCTCCCTCGGAGACCCAAACCCAGGCCGCAGGGCTCCCCAAAATACCAGGGTGCTCCACGGAGCAGGCTCTGCACTTACTTCTTCCTAGGATATATTCATCAGTAGAACCATTAATCTGCCAATTGCAGTATGACATTGACTTTTCCAACCCAAAACAATTCTTTCTAAAGCAGATTTTGTCTTAGACAACATGGCTTTGGCCGTAGGGTGTGTGGGAGCCCCTGTGGAGAGACAAAATGAGAGAGGGGTTCAGGAAGAGGGTCTGCGGCCCCAATCTCCAAGTTGAGGGGATGGGGCAATCCAGGTTTATTAGGGCAGGCGTTGAGGTGACAGGGTCCCAAGGTTCTTGGCCTCTGTTGAGTGCCTGAGTTCTGAATCTGAAGGGCTTATCCAAGTCCAGGCTGGGGTCTCAGCTTCAGGGGCCTGGGGGCAGACACCGGCAGAAGTTAGCAGGCAAGTCAAGACCCTAGCTGAGCAGGTGAGGGGCAGGGGCAGGCTACGGCCCCAATGTGGACTCATCCTGACCCCACAAATGGAGGTCGTTGATGAGTCTGCCAGTGCTCACACAGGAACCCGGGGTCTCGCCTCACTCATTGCCCCCACCCCCCTACACTCCCGGCTTGGAAATCAACTTTCCTCTTAGTGGAGAGGGGTTTCCTATTTACGGTAAGCCTGAGCTGTCCCTGACTCCCAGCCCTGGTGGGGCCGACCTATAGATGACAGGTAGTGACTAGTGACAGCTGGGAGAAGCAGGGGCAGCAGGAACCAACGTTTTTTGATGCTGTTTGCAAAACACAAGTTGCATTTTAAAGCAACCCAGGACACGGGCAAGTGCCGAAATAGCCCTTTGCAAGGAGTAGTAGCTGCCTCTTAGCTGACAGTTGCAAGGCCTGTCCTGGTGGACTCCGTAGCCCCTCCAGCACATGTCCAAGGGCCTGGAGAACAGAACGATCTCTTCGCCTGCTTTTCCTCCCCGCCTGTCATTATGGTAAATTACAAGGCTCCCATGATGACTATGGAGAGGCAGATTGATTTTGTTCCTTGTGGTTGTCGCTGTGCTCAACGTGGCCGGGGTGATGGGCACCCAGATTTCACACCTGGTAATGGCCCTGCCAGGGGTGGATGTGAGCACAATTGGGACCTGACACTTCAATAAATCGGAGACATTCTGCTGTGGAGATCAAAGTTCAGAATTGCTTAAATTGGTGTTGGAGCAGGTGGGAAACAGGAGTCCAGAGCCATGAATTGGATAGAAAACAATTGTCGTTCAATTTGTAAGACCTGAATGTCAGCTTTTCGAATGATATGACACCAATTTAAGTGAGTTGGGCTCCCAGCTACCTAGCCTATTTAGTATGACTGGTTTGGGAAAGTGTGATTCATGGTCTAGCTTATGTCCTTAAAGGGGAAGGGCTTGGAGAACCAACCCTGCTTGTATCTCTGGGGTCAGGCAGTTGTGTTCGGGGAGGGGGGTGGTATCACTGGGTTATCTGTGTTCGTGGGCGTGTGGATGACAGTTTCACCTCCTACCTGGATGTGTTGGTAAGCCCCCAAGCTCCATTTCCCGCCGTGACCTCTCTCCTGAGCTTTAGACTCATTACATGTTTATGTCACAGCATCAGTCCTTGTACACAGAGGTGAAGCTGGATTTTAACAGGCCATATCGTTCTCAAAGGCTCCAGATGAGGTGGGGTTGTGCTCTGTGTTCTGATGGCAGCTCAAGTCCAGAGGAGAGGTAGTTTGATCTCTGTGAATGAATGGGTACCTTTTTTATATTTATTCTTTCTTAGGATTGCAGTTTTATTGAGGTACAGTTCCCCATTTAAACAGTGTAATTCTCTGGTTTTTAGTATATTCACAGTTGTGCAACCATTGACACAATTCTAGAACATTTTCATCACCCCAAAAAGAGACCTTGTGCCCATTAGCAGTCACCCTACCTTCCCTCCCTATTCTCCTACCCCCCCCAGGAGCCGCTAATCTATATTCTCTCTCCAGATTTGCCTATTCTGGACATTCCGTATAAATGGAGTCAAACAATCATTCTATGGTTTTTTTCCATTGGCTTTTTTCACTTAGGGTAGTATTTTCTTTCTTTCTTTCTTTCTTTTTTTTTTTTAAAGGATTTTATTTGTCGGAGAGAGAGAGAGTGAGTGCACAAGCAGGGGGAGGGGCAGAGGGAGAGGGAGAAGCAGACTGCCTGCTGAACAGGGTGCCTGATGAGGGACTTGATCCCAGGACTCTGGGGTCATGACCTGAGCTGAAGGCAGACGTTTAACTGACTGCGCCACCCAGGCGTCCCCTTAGGGTAGTATTTTCAAGGTTCATCCATGTCGTAGCATCCATCAGTACTTTGCTCCTTTTCACGGCCGAAAAATAGCCTGTTCGATGGATAATACCACATTTTGTTTATCCATGCATCAGTTGATGGACATTTTGATTGTTTGCACTTTTTGCTGTAATAAATAATGTAGCTATCAATTTTCATGTACAAGTTTTTGTGTGGACATATGTTTTCATTTCTCTCGAGTACAAGAGAATATGTTTCGCATTTTGAAGAACTGCCAGGCTGTTTTCCAAAGGGGCTGCACCATTTAATACTCCCACCATCAGGGCGTGTCTCCACATCCCCACCAACACTTGTTACCGTCTTTCTTTTTTGATGGTAGCCATCGCGGTGGTGTGAAGTGTAGCTCACTGTGGTTCTCATTTGCATGTCCCTGAAAGGTCATGATGTTGATCATCTTTTCATGTGCTTTTTGGACATTTGTAGATCTTCTTGGGTAACCATGCCCCCATAGAGTTCATTGCACATCTCCCCAGTCCTAAGCATGAAGAGGACTCTGGCTGCTCACCCAGAAAGGTACATGGCAAGAAAGTCTCATCCTCCCATTTTTTTAAATGTTGGTGGGGAGTGCCAGAGACTTGTTGCATCCTGTATGAGGTGCTGTTCATCTTGCAGAATGACTGTATTCCTGAAATATTTCCTGTTAAGCAAATGGTCATAATCCTGTTTTACCACTGGCTGTCATTATTAAATTGGAAATTGATTGGAATAAAACTTTGGGCCCAAATTGTAAATGTGGGAAATTCCTGTTGGTATACTATTATATTTCACATAATAATACTAAAAACAATGATAATACCATTAGGGCATCAGGGGCAAGCGCTTATGATGCTCTATGGGCCAGGCAATGTAGTAGATGCTTCAGATATATTAATGTTTGATCTTCCTAACAACCCCATGAAATAGGTATTAGCAGCTTTGCCCCTTTACAAATGGGGAAAGTGAAGAACAGGGAGGCCAGGTAACTTGCCCGAGGTCAAAGCTCATGTACTAGTTAAGGTAACACTAGCTGCTATAACAGATAAGCCCCAGATTCTCAGAAGCTTATCATAATAAAAATTTATTTCCTGCTTATAGCAGAACCCCATGGCATCATTTTTTTTTTTTTTTTAAGTGATCTCTACACTCAGTGCGGGGCTTGAACTCATGAGCCTGAGATCAGGAGTCGTATGCTCTACTAACTGAGCCAGCCAGCCCCCCAACTCCAGCCTCCTTGATTGGATTGCCTTCCACATGGTCATTCAGGGATCCAGGTACCTTTCATCTTAACAGTCTTCCTTCTTCCATGTTCTTTGGGTCCTCACCAATCAATCAAGGGGGCCTGGTGAGAAAGACAGCAAGACTTCAGTGGGAGGTTCTTACCTGGCAGGCACTGACTTGATGCATATCACTTCTGCCCACTTACCACTGGCCAGAGCTCAGTTTTGTGGCCGCACTTCAGTGCAAAAGAGGCAAAGAGACATAGTTGTTGGCCCAGAGGGAAAGGAAATGAATTCTGGCAAATACACGCATTGTTTTGCCATCACTAGCAAGTGGAAGACCTAGGATTTGAACCGGGGCAGTCTGGCTCCAGAGCATTGCTCTTAACTAGAACATTCTACCATCTCACTGTGAACAACAGCTCAAAGTCAGAGAAAAGTGTGGAGAGTTACACCACTTTTTACTCCGTGTTATTCCCACCCAGATGCTGGGCTTGGGAATTCTATCAAATTCTATCAAAGTCATTGTCTTTCAGTGCCAGGCTCTGTTCTCTACATTTTTACATGTTCTATTTCATTGAATCCTCATAATTACCCCCATGAGATAGGGGATTATGATTATTCCCATTTTCCAGGTGAGGAGGCTAAAACCAAACGCTTGGGTGTGCCTCCCGGTGTAAGTAAGTGGCGTCTCTGGGCTTCTAGCACCTTCATATGAAACGACCGAGCACGGGGGGGTTTGAAGGGAAGGTGAGAGAAGATGAGAAAGTCCACGCCACCAAACCCCAGCTAGAACCTTATTTGGATCCTGCTTCAGAAAAATCAACTTCTTCAGGGCACCTGGGTGGCTCAGTTGGTTAAGCGACTGCCTTCGGCTCAGGTCATGATCCTGGAGTCCCGGGATCGAGTCCCGCATCAGGCTCCCTGCTCTGCAGGGAGTCTGCTTCTCCCTCTGACCCTCCTCCCTCTCATGCTCTCTGTCTCTCATTCTCTCTGTCTCAAATAAATAAATAAAATCTTTAAAAAAAAAAAGAAAGAAAAAAAAAGAAAAATCAACTTCTTCAAGTGATTTATGGGACAATCAGGAAAAAGTAACCACTCACCGGCAATGGATGACATGAAGAAATCATTATTAATTTGTAGGGTGTGAGAACAGCGTCGTGGTCATGTTAAAAAAGACGGAAGTCCTTATCTTTTCCAGGTACATACTGAAATGTGTAGTGGACGGCATGATAAGATGTCTGGAAGTTGCTTTGGATAATGCAGTGCAGGGGTTGAGGTGTAGCAACAAGGGGCCACGAATTGCTCATTATTGCAGAACGATGATGGGTACATGGAGGTTTGTTGTACTAGTCTCTCACTTTGGGGTGTATTTGAAATTTCCTGTAATAATTATAATAAAAAAGAAAACTTTAGGGCGCCTGGGTGGCTCAGTTGGTTAAGCGACTGCCTTCAGCTCAGGTCATGATCCCAGGGTCCTGGGATCGAGTCCCGCATCGGGCTCCCTGCTCTGCGGGGAGCCTGCTTCTCCCTCTCCCACTCCCCCTGCTTGTGTTCCCTCTCTCGCTGTGTCTCTCTCTGTCAAATAAATAAATAAAAATCTTTAAAATAAAAAAAAAGAAAAGAAAACTTTAATGAATGGGCTTTCTGTAGCCCCCTAGTTTGTAAATGAAGTGATGAGGTTGGGCTCAGAGCACAGAACATGTTCGTTAAGAACAGTTGAGCAGGGATTCCTGAGTGGCTCAGTCGGTTCGGCGTCTGCCTTCGGCTCAGGTCATGATTCCGGGGTCCTGGAATCGAGCCCTGCATCGCATCGGACTCCTTGCTCAGCGGGGAGCCTGCTTCTCCCTCTGCCTGTCACTCCCCCCTGCTTGCATGCTCTCTCTCTCTGACAAACAAATTAAAAAAAAAAAAATCTTAAAAAAAAAAGAACAGCTGAGCAGCCTGGAAGATTTTCTAAAGCAGGCCATCAGGGGCTCTGTTTGGGCATCATTGGCCCATGTTTGAATTCTGAGATTCTCCCAGAGGCAGCGTTTAGTGCCCAGAGAACTGAGCTCCTGAAGACGAACCTGGGGCCTCCAAAAGGCAGATACACAGGCTCCCTGGGTGAGGCGGATCCAGGCTGAGGGTGGGTTTTGCCCTGGCCCAGCGGCCTCCACACAGGCTAGCTGTGCAGCATGCGACAAATATCTCGCTGAAAGGTACAGCACGGCCCCGGGCCCCAGCTGCACTTTAATTAAACGGTGAAAATCCATCAAAGACTCGGCCTTCTCAGTCAGCCAGTTCTCTGAGTCCCAGGTGAAGCCAGCTCTCGGCTGGCTGCGGGCCAGGAGGAAGGTGAGCTGCAGGCCCTCCCAAGTCCCTGCCTAAAATCAACAGCCAGGGCTCCGCAGCCAGCTTCTGACCTGATGCAAATTAAGCTTGGCATTTGGCGATGGTATTAAATGTCCTAAATCAATATTCTAGAGGCAGGATCAGAACAATTAAAAACCCTGATTTCCTCCTTGGATCATTGGAGTATATATGAATATAAATTGTCAGTTCACTTTTCAAACTCAGCAGGCTGAGAAAGAGGGAGGTCAGCCTGGTGATGCTGTGAGCATAGTTTATTTCATCCTCAGCATCTTTTCCTATTTTTACATGTATGCAGCATGTGTCAAGCACACAGGGGCATTCGTGTGTGATGAAACGTTTAATCCCTGCAGTAACCCCGGGAGGTTCTGTCATCCCCACTTTACAGATGAGCTAACAGAGGCTCAGGTGAAGTGACTTGCTCAGGGTGTCAGCTACTAAGTGGTAGAGCAAGGATTTGAGTTAATTCCTTCAAGCTCAAGTCCAGTGCTTTGCCCACTGTAACACAGCTGGCTTTTCTTCATAGTGTTTATGTTTCATTCATCAGTAATGATAATTAATAACAATGGATGAACCATAACAAGAGTGACTGTTTAATAATTTAGTTTCTCTAGTCTTAAAAGATACTGGCAGTTTTTCTGGTTTTCCATTTGTTCAACCGTTTATTGAGGGGCAGCCTGGGAGGGAGGTTTCTGGGCTCTGGAGTGCACCAGACTGGTCCCACCGCATACAGGCTGTGTGACCTGGGACAAGTTCATCATCCTCTCTGAGCCCAGGCTTCCTCATCTGTAAAATGGGATGGTACTCCTCCCACCCCCCTGGGGTTGTCATGGAGATGAAAGGAGTAGAGACTTGCAAAGTGTTTAAAGTGGGGTTGTCATGGAGATGAAAGGAGTAGAGACTTGCAAAGTGTTTAAAGTAGGGCCTGGCTCTCAGTGGGCATTCTAGAAATCTGAGTCCCTGGCAGACACTGTCAAGGCCCTAGAGGAAGACCTATGTCTCTGCTCTCATGGAACTCGCCTCTTATGTTTAGCCAGTTAATATTATTGCTCCTATTTTCATTAAACTAGCTAAACATATTTATGTTTATAGTAAAAAAATTCAAAGAGGCCAGAAATATAAACTGAAAAGGAAGGACTCCTCCTTCTTTCCTATAGTCGGGATTTAGATAGACTGGTGTAGCCTGTAATAACAGTAATAATAATAATAGTATATAGTAATGTAATAATAGTGTGTCAGGAATGCTCTGTTGTGCAAGCATACGCACTTGTCTTCTTTCTATACAACTGGAATGCCACTGTAAAGGGTGTTTGACAGTTTATACTTTTCCACTTACCTATTTACCCATCTTGCGTACAGGCATACCTCATTTTATTACACTTCACTTTATCACGTGTCGCAAATATTGCATGTTTTTTGTACAAATTGAAGGTTTGTGGCAACCCTGCATCAGGCAAGTCTGTTGGTGCCATTTTTCCAACAACATTTGTTCGCTTCATATCTTTGTGTCACATTTTGCTAATCCTTGCAATATTTCAAACTTTGTCATTATTTGTTCCGGAGCTCTGTGATCAGTGATTACGACTCGCTGAAAGCTCAGGTGATGGTTAGCATTTTCTGGCAATAAATTTTTTTTTTTAAAGATTTTATTTATTTATTTGACAGAGAGAGAATGAGAAAGAGAGCACATGAGAGGGGGGAGGGTCCGAGGGAGAAGCAGACTCCCCGCGGAGCAGGGAGCCTGATGCGGGACTCGATCCCGGGACTCCAGGATCATGACCTGAGCCCAAGGCAGTCGCTTAACCAACTGAGCCACCCAGGCGCCCCGGCAATAAAATATTTTTAATTAAGGTGTATACATTTTTAAAGACATAATGCTATTGCATACTTCATAGATTATAATATAGTGTAAACATAGTTTTTATATGTACTGGGAAAACAAAAATTTCATTTTACTCTATTGTGATAATTGCTTTATTGCAGTGGTCTGGAACCAAGCCTGCAATATCTCCAAGGTATGCACGTGTCTTTCACATATGGATTTACCTCATTTTTAAAATTTTATTTATTTATTTATTTAAGATTTTTAAAATTTATTTGACAGAGACACAGGGAGAGAGGGAACACAAGCAGGGGGAGTGGGAGAGGGAGAAGCAGGCTTCCCGCTGAGCGGGGCTCGATCCCAGGACCCCGGGATCATGACCTGAGCCGAAGGCAGATGCTTAATGACTGAGCCACCCAGGCGCCCCGGATTTACCTCATTTTTAAAACAACTTTATGCATGGCCTGGGTGTGCCATAGTTAATTTAACCATTTCTCTATTGATGCGCATTTAAGGTTTTTGTGGTGTTTTGCGCCTCCAAACAGTGCTGCATTAAGCCTGCTTGCAAACAAATAAAGGCATTCTGTATCTGTTTATCTGCATAATAAATTCTTACAGATGGAATTGCTGAGTCAAAAATTTGTTAGGCCTGACTTTTGTTGGATATTACCAAATTGCTCTCGAAAAAGGAAATGCTAGGGAAGAAAAGTGCTACCCAAGCTTTAAAACTCATATTTCTTGTGAAGAATTCAGTTTTGAAAGAGAGGGTGGAAATGAAAAGTCAGCCTGATCTTTCCTTTTGCTGGGAATGCTTTTCCTTGCCCACACATTTTTAGGCATCAAATTCTCAGGCTCCTGTCCTCGGTGCTTGGTACAGACAGAATGTTCTAGATTTCAAGGCAAAAATCTGTGTGTGCTTAACTATCTCTCCACTCCCAGGCCCCCCTGCCCCCCATTCTCTGAGGGAAGGACTTCTGTTCTCTCTCTAACTTTCAGGATACATCGGCCTCATGCTTTTCTGGAATGGCCTCTCTTTGCTGCAGAGGTCCAGATTTCTCCCTGGGGGAGAAAGTCCCACAAGAGCATCTTCAAGTGGATATCTGAAGCCAGGGTCTTGCTAAGCGTCCACCAGCCTGGCCCAGGCCTTTCGGCTCCTCCTTGAATTCCTCCAGGCCCAGAAACAGCTGGGTGCCGCCAGTGTCCTTCTTTCTGCCTCCAACAAACTGATTTCCTTTTAGGGATGACTGCTCCACCAACCCCCAGCCAACCAGGAGCAGAAAACCCGATGACGAAGATAATAAATTGCGTCCAGGGCCACAGGCGAGGAGGGGGGAGGAATGACTCATGAGTCCCTACATCCTCCTGCTACATTCCAAGAGCTGCCTTCCTCAGGGCTTAAATCACTCCCTAAGAGCAACACCCCAACCAGACTGACCAGACGGCGGAGGAAGGCCAGTTGCTGTTTGCTGGCTGGGTGAGGGGGATGCAGTGAGGGCCCTGGCTGGACTTTTTTTTTCTCTGCGCCAGATCTTTTGAACCGGCTGGTGACCCTGGCTCCCCCTGGGAAGAAGGCACAGGGCAGGTCTGCTCTCAAGGGGCTCATGGTCTAGCCTCTAGGGACCCCTGTGCTATGCCTAGCCCACCGCCCTGGAGGGAGACAGACCTAATAGTGTGGTGACCCTGGGCGAGTCACTTCATCTCTCTGAACCTCAGTTTCTCCCCGACAAAATGGGAAAGAAGAATTTAGTACTGATCTTTAGGGTTGTTCGTAATTAATGAGGTAATTCATGTCCGGTGCTTAGCATGGAAGCCAGCGCACCTAAAGCACTTAATACTTGGTATTTAGTGCCACTGCTACATTCCTCTTGACAATTTTGCAAATAAAAAATTAGGAAACATGGTCCGGCTGTGGCTGTCACCCCTGCCGATGATCTGTAATAATAATAGTGAACTTTTATGTGGAGCGTACTGTGTTGTAGGGCTTTATGTATGTTGACTCATTTAATCCTGCCAGACCCCACGAGTAGCTATGCAATAGATTCTATTATTATTGTCCCCATCTTCTGCGTGAATATACCGAGGCATGGAGAGGTTGAAGAGCTGGCCCCTAGTTAGTAAATAACGGAGCCAGGATTCAGACCCAGGTCGTCAGCTCTAAAAGCTACTTTCTTAACCACTATTATCATCCTGCTTCTCAGTTTATGTTTGTACGTTTCTATAAGACCGTTTTCCGAAGTTACAGCAGTTAAGTGACATTTATTTTCTTCTTTTTGCTTGCATTGAGAAAAATGTTGGTTTTTCTTATAATAGCAACATAGCATTATTTAAAAAATTGAAAAATACAGAAGAGGAAGGTCAAAGTATTTGTCTACAGTACTACCACCTGACCAGTGGTCTAGATAAAGGCTGGTTCTTTTTTGTTTTCTGTACTTTATGGACAGTGGTATCCTCCTGTGTGTGACGACTGGGTAGCTCATGTCACCTGTAACTCTCTGTTTAAGTTTGACAAGAGTCAAGCTGGTCTATACCCTGCTTACCTGTACGATTCCTTGGAGCTTGTGCTCGGATGTTACAGGAATAGCAAATTGCTAAAAGTTTCTCAATTATTTTCTTGTTTTGTGAAGTGACACATGGTTCACAGACTCATGCTGGTCTATGAATCATACTCTAAGCAGCACTGACCTGGACAAACACTGTTTACATTTTAACATACTTATTTCCAGTATTTTTCTATGTTTTTTTGTTTGTTTATTTTTAGTCTGTATGCACATTTCTTTTGCTCACTACCCTTCTCATTACAATGTTACTGTAAACTATTCTTGAGTATAATCTTTTTAAAAATTTGTTTGTTGTTTTTAAAGATTTTATTTATTTATTTGACAGAGAGAGACAGCGAGAGAGGGAACACAAGCAGGGGGGAGCTGGAGAGGGAGAAGCAGGCTCACCGATGAGCAGGGAACCCGATGTGGGGCTCGATCCCAGGACTCTGGGATCATGACCTGAGCCGAAGTCAGTCGCTTAACTGACTGAGCCACCCAGTCGTCCCAGTTTAAGTATAATCTTTAATGACAATAGTAATATTCCATCTGGAAGATGTACCATAGATTACTAACCTAGTCCCTTTTTCATGGGGTTTGGTATGTTTCCAGTTAATTGCCATGATAAAAATATGATGGTGAATAGTTTTAGTATAATTACTTTTCCATATTTAACATTATTGCCATAGGGTAGATTTCCTAGTATGGAATGACTGGGTCAAACAATATAAAGCCTTTTAAATGTCTTTTTTTTTTTAAGATTTTATTTATTTATTTGACAGAGAGAGAATGAGAGAGAGAGAGAGAGCACATGGGAGGGGGGAGGGTCCGAGGGAGAAGCAGACTCCCTGCCGAGCAGGGAGCCCGATGCGGGACTCGATCCCGGGACTCCAGGATCATGACCTGAGCTGAAGGCAGTCGCTCAACCAACTGAGCCACCCAGGCTCCCCAAGCCTTTTAAACTTCTTGTTAGATATTACCAAATTACCTTTTTTTTTTTAAAGATGTTATTTATTTATTAAAGAAAGAGAGCAGGGGAGGGGGAAGAGGAAGAGAATCTCCAGCAGGCTCCACGTTGAGCGAGGAACCCAATGCAGGGCTTGATCCCACAACTGTGAGATCATGACCTTTGGTGAAGTCAAGAGTCAGATGCCCAACCGACTGAACCACCCAGGGGCCCCCCAAATTACTTTCTAAAAGGGATGTGCCAATATGTGCTTTCCAGAGTAGTCTGAAGTGTGCCTGTTACTACATCCTTTTCTGCATTCAATATTATCATTTAATTAAGGGACCAATCTTAATTATTTTGAGTTTCTTTGATTACTGATGAGGTTGAACATTTTCCACACTTGTAGCCATTTATATTTACTCTTTGGTTTTATACCCAGTTGAGCACTAGAATAAAATATTATGACTTGGCACAGATTTCACACTACTTTAGACTGGAAGCCAAGTAAACCTGTATATAAAGTCTGTAACTGTTGATGTATGGTATCTCCATTATTGAGGTCTTTCCCCTTTTCTCTGCTGCCAGAATTGGGGGATGCTTTTATATGATCTTTTTTTTTTTTTTTAAAGATTTTATTTATTTTTTCATGAGAGTGAGAGAGAGAGAGAGGCAGAGGGAGAAGCAGACTTCCCGCAGAGCGGGGAGCCCGATGCGGGACTCGATCCCAGGACTCCGGGATCATGACCTGAGCTGAAGGCAGTCGCTTAACCAACTGAGCCACCCAGGCGCCCGCTTTTATATGATCTTTATGGTGGTCCTCATCTTTAGAAAAATCCGTCTGAATGCATACCTAATACCATGTACCAATAATGTAGCAAGTATATGGTCTGAATATTTGTGTTCCGCCCCCACGCCCCGAATGCATATGTTGAAATCCTAACCCCCAGGTGATGGGTTAGTCTCTGGGGCCTTCGGGAGATCATTTGGGGGAACTTAGTGCCTTGATAAAAGAGGCTCCAGAGAGAGCCCTTGGCCCTTCCACCATGGGAGGACATAGGAATGGGGTGCTGGCTATGAACCAGGAAGCAGGTTCTCGCCAGACATACCCATGGTGGTACCTCGGTCTTGAACTTCCTAGCCTCCAGCACTGTGAGAAATGTATTTCTGTTGTTTCGAAGCCATACAGGCCATGGTGTATTGTTGTAACGGTGCGCAGGGACGGACACAGGGACTTATTGCCCATATGTCCTCGGCTATGTTTTCTCTCTCCTTTTTCCTTTCTCTCTTTCTCCTTTTGTTTTTTGGACCTATTTAGGAAGTATTGCATGCTAGCTTGAATGAATCAGTTTTTTTTTTTTTTTAAAGATTTTATTTATTTATTTGAGAGAGAGAGAATGAGAGACAGAGAGCATGAGAGGGAGGAGGGTCAGAGGGAGAAGCAGACTCCCCGCTGAGCAGGGAGCCCGATGCGGGACTCGATCCCGGGACTCCAGGATCATGACCTGAGCCGAAGGCAGTCGCTTAACCAACTGAGCCACCCAGGCGCCCTTGAATGAATGAGTTTTTGAAACTACTGATCCATTGGAATTTCTGATGTACTTTTATGAATTATGAGCAAAATAGGAAGACCTTTTGAAATCTGGATGATTTGGGGAAATTCTAGATGCCTGAACTCAAACATTTAACCGTATTCCTGTGTATGTGAGCAGTGTGGGCCAAGCAAGGCCTGAGGAGTGACGAGGCAATTTGGGCTGGAGTCTAGCACTGAATGCTCACCTGTATTTCCCCCAAAGGGACTTGTTGAGGACTTGTTTGCTTTTTAATAACATTAGGAGGTATTTATCCATAAGGCAGGGATATCTCTGTATGCCCCAAAGTGTGCCCTTTCAAAGTATATGACGATGGCAGAGTGTAGTGGTAATGGTGGGACCAAGGTATTTCCCTGCAGCCGATTTCCCCCTTGACAAGTCTCGGGTCCCCTCCCTGGCTCAGTAGATATTTTTAGACAATGCAAAAGACCATAATTGGAACCTATAGTGACCTGATAGGCAAAATAATTAAGCTAGCTAAAATATGTGGATATTAATGGAATTTAGAAAGAAAGTTTATCTAATTTTATATGTAGGAAAGCTCTTTTTTTTTTTTTTTTTAAAGATTTTATTTATTTATTTGACAGAGAGAGACACAGTGAGAGCAGGATCACAAGCAGGGGGAGAGGGAGAGGGAGAAGCAGGCTTCCCGCGGAGCAGGGAGCCCGATGCGGGGCTCGATTCCAGGACCCTGGGACCATGACCTGAGCCGAAGACAGACACTTAACGACTGAGCCACCCAGGTGCCCCTGTAGGAAAGCTCTTAATAAGTGTCCACAAAAAAGCATACTATGTTCAAATTAGTTCAGAAAAGCTAGGTTAAAAGAGCTTCATTTTTTCCTATTAAAGCTTATTACACTCTCTGATTTTCCAAAGCAGCAGCAAAGTAAGATATAGTATTCAGTTTTTCCAAACTTCTTTTGCCTATGGGATCGTATTTTTCAAGAAGCTCCTACTAACCCCTTGCAAAATAGTTCTTTGCAGCATACAACAGACCATGGAAAATGCTGGAACCAGGCCAGTTTCTGTGGCATTGATGTTCACATTGGTCATGAATCTTGGGGATCCCTGAAGCTGGGGATCATTGTCCTGAAGCACAGATCATTTGTGAAATGGGAGTGATAGCTCATACTTTGTAAGGGTTGGTTTTTGTTTTTGTTTTTTTAAAGATTTTATTTATTTATTTGAGAGAGAGAGAGTGAGAGAGAGCCCATGAGAGGGGGGAGGGTCAGAGGGAGAAGCAGACTCCCCACCGAGCAGGGAGCCTGATGTGGGACTCGATCCAGGGACTCCAGGACCATGACCTGAGCCGAAGGCAGTCGCTTAACCAACTGAGCCACCCAGGCGCCCATAAGGGTTGGTTTTTGAAATGTAGTTCTTCGCCTACCAGCCCTTCTTCATGTCCGATGGTAGATCAATAACCTTTGGGGAGCAATAGGGTTGGGAAACCATGATCCCACGTCCAGTCTTTAATGGCACTAAAAGTGTTTCTTCCTCTTACTAAATAGACCACGATCAAGGCAGCCCCGTATGTGGAGACATTTTACACATCTCTGGTTAGAGGACAATATCGCACAGTCATTAAGGAGAATACTCTCTCAGGGGTATGACCGCCTGTGCCTAATCCAGCCTTGCCACGGAGTGAACTATGTGGCTTGGGGCCCTTAGTGAACCCATCATAATCCTTAAGTTCCCTAGCTATAGGATAAGGATAATTTCACCCGCTAGGATTGACGTTGGGAATAAAAATGCGTGTAAAGTGCTGGGGCGCCTGGGTGGCGCAGTCGTTAAGCATCTGCCTTAGGCTCAGGTCACGATCCCAGGGTTCTGGGATCAAGCCTCTCATCGGGCTCCCTGCTCAGCAGGGAGCTTGCTTCTCCCTCTGCCTGCTGCTCCCCCTGCTTGTGCTCTCTCTCTCTCTCCCTGACAAATAAATAAATACAATCTTAAAAAGAAATGCGTGTGAAGTGCCTAGAGCCCCGGGTGTTAGCCGAGGTCCTGGTGGGAAGAGTTGGCCCACTCTCAGAGCAGTGTGGGAATGAAGGGACCTTTACAAAGCTGTGGGTGGGGTGGAAGGGAACCAGCGAGGGTGAGGCACCCCAGGACTGACAAGAGCAGGGAACACGGACTACCCTGAGGCCTTCTGGGACATGGGAACGGGGTGCTGACCCGCTGCTGGGGACAGAGCTGTGGCTGGAGGAGAGTGACAGTCCCTGCCGGTTCATGGCCCAGCAGGGAGGGGCCCAGGAGTGAACGTTCTACCGCATCCCATGACTGAACCCAACCATGGCAGAGAGGGGATGTGGAGTGGCAGATGGATAGCTCACATGGGAAGAGCTCAGTTCATGCTGACTAATTTTGATGGGTACTGTGCCATTCATTTCCATTTTGAACTTGGTTACTTACTACCTGTGTCACTTTTGGAAAATTGAAAATGACCTGACCTCCTTGTGCCCCAGCTTCCCACTCTCTCCACAGAGGACATACTAACTGGTGCCTTTCTTGTGACGTCAGATAACGAGTACCTGTCGGTGCCTGGCACATAATGAGCTCTGAGTACATGTGAAGGGTGGAGCTGTTCCATTCCACTTTGCCGCACGTAATGCACGTGTACGCATAAGAACAAGCTCATTTTCCTCCGGGGTCTGGCCTTCTATCTGAAAGCTTAATACCTTTCTGATCTCGTGATTCAGTGGCTGAGTCTCCATTCCGGACCTCAACCCAGTCCCAGAAACCTGAACACCTTTTTCTGATGCTTCTGGTAACTTTTCTGTAATGTACTTGGCACAGCTGAGAAGGTTACTTCTCAGTCCCTCTCTACAGCCCGTGGTTAGCTCTGCCCCTTAAATCTTTGTGAAGTACAGGTCATCAAGCCCAAAAGCACAAGTCTCAGCTTCCCACCTCCCTTCCTCCCCACAGAGACCAGTATGGGGCAGCTCTAAGGTGTGGTTGTCTTTTCTGTTTCCCTTCCCTCCCTTTCTTTTCCAGGGCTTCACTGTGAAACCCCTACTCCATTCTGCCTTCTGCTTTCCCCCCTCGTCCCCCTCCTCTGCTATTTCTGTTAATTAATTGAGGGAGGAGGGGCAGGAGGAATCCTCTGGCTTTTTCAGCTTTGTCATGAGCAGCCAGAGGACTTGGTTTTGAGGTCACCAGGACGTGGAGCAGGGGCCCTGATTTGTGCGCTAGTGGATGGGAGGATACCACGCGACCTTTAAGGACGCTGCTTCCCGGAGGCTTCCACATGCTGAGGATAGGAGTGCCCTCCCCTTCCAGTGCCCAGCCAGTGCTTTGAGCATTTCAGCTATGCCGGAGGGATTGGGATGTGGTGGGACCCAGAGAGTATCAGCCAAATACTTGAAGTACGGTGTCAGCATTTATGCAGTGGGGATGGGGAGAAACTGTGATTTATATAAATAAAGCTAGTAAGCCTATTTATATTAAAACTAGGGGATTACATGTGTTTATTTCATGTGAGTTTCTGAACTAAGCAAGATCTTGGAAACACAGTAAAGGAGTTAAAATTTAGTTATTCAAACACATTATTTATTCCCACAAAATGGCTCACAATGTCTAGGGTGATTTTAGAATTTCAGCTGATCTGGACCTGCTGACTTTAGATTCCTGTGAGCCGGCTGGTTTCGGGGTTGGTGGCCCTGTGTGGCCTCTAGTTACACCTTGCAGCTTGCAAACATGTTCACTCAACATAGCTTTCAGAGTGGAGTCTGCCTTTTTTATCCCCTGCCACGAAATGCACGATCTTCTTTGACAGAAGTGGGACCAATTTCTATTTTACCAGCTATGGAAGAAGCAGAATGTGGAAACCTGACTTAACTGTTACCATGTTTCCAATTTATTCCAGGGAGTTGTAGCATTTCTTATAAACTTGCATCCCAGGTGGCTGCCCAACTAGCGTATGATTTAATATGGCTCTTTTTTTTTTTTTAAGTTGGGAAAATGCTTAGGAGATGTGCCAAGATCTCAGTTATGGCCTATGTGCAGTGTGTTTATTCATTTGTTCAGCAAACACTGGGTATCATTCCAGCCTGGATTACCATTGGGTCTTGGGGTTGCAGGCTATAGCAGAATACTCTGGGGGCACTTGTGCTTGGGGGTGCAGGGCTCATAATTTGGGGGGAGATCAGCTCATTTGTTGCAGAGATGCTGGTACAGCAGGGTCCAGTTCCCTGGACGTGCTAAGGAGGGCATCAGGGTCCAGTCCTAAAGGGCTTCAGGAATATGCTCCGTCTGGGCAGACCCAGGAGGATAAAGAGGGAAAGCCCTTGGTGCTGGAAGCCAGTCCAAAAACTCCAAGTTGCCGGCAGGGAGAACTGCTCTTGGATCCTAAGTCTTCTGCCGTGGGGCCATCCCTTCATGGGTACAGAGACAGCAGCTGGCCAGGGCCTTATGCCTATAATTAGGTGGGGACTGGAGAAGCTGCTGAGAGTGGAAAGAGCACTGAACTTGGCTCCATTTGGGACCGTGTGGGTGGCCCCGCTTGCTTCCAGCTGTGGAGCTTGAGTCATCAAGTTCTTTGGACATGTGGCAGAGCCCGGAGCCACCTCGGTCCTGGCATCTGACCCTGCCATCCTCATCTTCTCTGGAGCTTAATGATTCCGTTGTCTGCAGTCACTGAGGAAGGCTGTGGAAGGCCGGGGAGAAGACCCCATGATGTAATTGTCACGGTGCTCACACGGTCCGCGTGGGAGAGTGATGAGAATCACTCACCTGTGCCTCGTTTTACGGTTTACGAAGGAGAGACTCGGGGCTGCGTCAGCTACCAGTGGGCACCTGTGTCCCAACCACTCAGCCCCTCTTAGCCTTAGTCTCCTCATTTATGATACAGGGATGATAAAAGTTACTGCCTTGCCCATTTAATGGGTTTTTCCTTCAAGAGAGTAAAGGAAGGGGCGGGAAGCAGAATGGGACACACTAGAAAGTGGGGCTGGGACAGGCCTGGAGGAAAGGCCAAGAATAAAATGTTCGACTTGAGTAGCAGGTGAGATGGCCACTTAAAATTTCACAGTGTCTCTGGCAAATCGTATAGTAATTATGTTTTCCCTGATTACATAAGGAACACATGCTTAGAGTAAAAAATTTAGGAAAAAATATTAAGCATAGAGACATGTTAAAATAAACCCTAGTCTTTTTCACTGTTAATATTTGGATATGTTTTCTTTTCTTGCGTCGTTCATATACCTACTATTTTAACCGACTGAGCCACCCAGGCACCCCTCATATATCTACTATTTTAATAAAATTAGAATCATGCTATAGATTCATTAATGAGACCCAGGCTCTTTAAATGTAATTTCCACATATATATGTTTTTAGCTTTGTTTTTACAAAACTGGAATCATACTGTTTATCAGTGAGGGGTCTCCAGAGAAACAGAACCAATTGGGGATATATATATGTATACGTATTTATACCCATACACTTATATGCTCATATACATATGCATATACATATCAAGAGGTACAGATACACACATGCACAAACACATGTATAAGGAGATATATTTTAAGGGGTTGGTTCACATGAGTCTAAAGGCTGGCATGCCTGAAATCTGAGGCAGCAACTTGGGAACTCGAGTGGAAGTTAAGGCTGCAGTCTTGAGGCCAAATTCTATTGTCTTAGGGAAATCTCAGTTTTCACTTGTAAGGCCTGCAGCTGATTAGATGAGGCCCACCTACACTGCAGAGTGTACTTTCCTTTACTCAAAGTCAGCCAGTTGTAGATGTTGACTACATGTACAGAACACCTTCACAGCAGCATCTGGTGTTGGATTCAATAACTGGGTACTATAAGCTAGCCCCGTTGATACATAAAACTGACCATCACATACCACATACCCCAATTGTATTTTGATTGTTTTACTTTGCATGTCGTGAATATTTTTCCATAGCATGAAACATTTTATAAGAACTTGATACTTACTGGTTTTTTCACCCAATGACTTGACCATGATTTATTTAGGAACTTCCAGTTGTCAAATATTTAGGTTTTATCAAGTTTTCCTATAGCTTTAACATCATGATAGACATCTTTGGGTGCATTTTCTTTTCTTCTCTTTTTCAAGATTTATTTTTTTACGGTGGGGAGGGGCAGAGGGAGAGGGAGAGAGAAAATCTCAAGCAGACTCTCTGCTGAGCGCAGAGCCCGATGCGGGGCTGGATCCCACAACCCTGAGATCATGACCTGAGCTGAAACCAAGAGTCGGATGCTCAACCAACCAAGTCACCCAGGTGCCACAGTGCATTTTCTTTTTACATATTCCTTATTAGTTCCTAGAATATATCATTGATGGGGAATTAGTGGGTCAAAGGTTATGGAGATTTTAAGGCTTTTGATATACATTGCTAAGTTTTCTCTAGGACCATGCTTTTCAGGCTGGAATCCCTGCACTGGCATAGCTGGGTCGCTCCTGAGAAAGGCAGATTCTTGGGCCTTTCCCTAGACCTACTGAATCAGAATCTGGATTTTAGGTAGATCCCCATGTGACTTGTATGCACCCCACAGTTTGAGAGGCACTGCCCAAGAAAATCTCTACCATGCTAGGGTCTGAATGTTGGTGTCCTCCAAAAATACATCTGTTGAACCCCTAATGTCTGATGCAATGTTATTAGTAGGTGGGAACTTAGGGAGGTGCTTATGTCATGAGGGTGGATGAATGGGATTAGTCCCTCATAAGAGGCTCCAGAAAGATCCCTCGCCGCTTCCGTCGTGTGAGGACATAGGGAGAAGGGAAGAGCTATGAACCAGGAAGAAGGCCCTCACCAGTGAACTTGACCTTGCTGGTGCCTTGATCTTGGACTTCCAGCCTCTAGAACTGTGACCTATAAACTTCTGTTGCTTCTAAGCCACCCAGTCTTGGGTATGTTGTTATAGGAGCCTGAATGGACTGAAATATACCAGAAGTATATAGAGACTTGTTTTACTTCACTCTCATCAAAACTGGGCATTGTGTTTTTCTCTTTGTTAATTTGCTACCCCCAAATGATATTCTGTTGTTGTTTTGATTTTTGTAACAAATTGATTGAAGAGGCGGGCTACTAGAGGCATTCAACCAGGAAAAACTTTTTTTTTTTTATTTGAGAGAGAACGAGAGACAGAGAGCATGAGAGAGGGAGGAGGGTCAGAGGGAGAAGCAGGCTCCCCGCCGAGCAGGGAGCCCGATGCGGGACTCGATCCCGGGACTCCAGGATCATGACCTGAGCCGAAGGCAGTCGCTTAACCAACTGAGCCACCCAGGCGCCCAAGGAAAAACTTTTTATTTTGCAAGCACAGCCTTAAAATATGCCCTGTGGTATCTTAGGTGGATTGCATGACTTTCCAGTCTCTTCCAGCTAGCAGGGCAGTCTCATTTAGGTCATTATGTAGGTGTGGCGGTCTAGTCCGGTCTGAAATCAACACTGCAGTTTCCCGTCCAACTCCGTGCTCCGCCCCCGCCGCGTGCTTGGCTTCCCCCGACCCAGGCACCCGTGGTGGGGCCCGGGGGAGTGGCCGGTGGGCCTGGCGGGGCCTTTCACATGTGCGGCGCCACCTCCTCCTGTTGCTACTCTCCGTGGCAGGGGTGCGGAGGACTATGTTGAGAAGGGACAAGAGTCTTCCAGTATTCGTGCTATCATAATACTCTCCCGATTACTGCTGGCTTGCTGGCTCATGGCTGATGCCCCGTGTTGGCTTCTTCAGAGGCCCCCGTAAGGAATTTTTAAAGAGCTCTTCAGTGTGGTTAGCTGGGTTGGGATTTCAGCCTCCGGAGCCCACGATGCGGTGGCCTGCCCTGACATGTGTTAAAATAATGGCGCTCAGGACAACTATTGCTGTCACCCACAGAGAAACCTGATGACATCTGTTTGGACTCCCCACAAATGACAGCAAAGTGAACCAAAAATTCTGATGTTTCAAATGTATGCAGCTGATTAGACTATGGAAGGATCAGCTCCTGTGGAGGTTGGAACCATCTTTTGTCTTTTTTTTTTAAGGCTGATTCCTGAGGCCTCAATTGTGCATTGGATATCTTCAGGAAAAAATGGTGACTCCATCAGGCATTGCAGGTGGAATGGACGCTAGGGGAAGGCTTTAGAAATACGGACTGTTAGTCTTTGGAGTTGCAGAGCTTGTCTCCTCTAAGGGATATTCTTCAAGGTTTCATTTAGATCATGCTTGGTGAATCAAAAATTCTTTCCAGTCAGCTTTTCTTTTCTTTTTTTTTTTCCTCGGCGGGAGAGAGAGGAAGAGTGGGAGGGGGCCAGCAGGGCAGGGGGAGAGGGAGAGAGAGAGAATATTAAGCAGGCTCCACGCCCATTGTGGAGCCCCACTCAGGACTCGGTCTCACGACCCTGAGATCATGACCTGAGCCAAAATCAAGAGTTGGACGCTTAATGGGCCAAGCCACCCAGGCGCCCCTCCAGCCAGCTTTTCAAGTTGTCTTCTAAAATCAGGAAACTATAACTATTCACTTCGCGGCTTGCTTCGGCTCCAGGTACAGGTCACCATTCCCAGGGTTTTTTCTTCCCTCTTGGTTGCTTTCATCCCCTCCCGGATGTTCCCAGCTGCCCAAATGATCCACAGCACGACGTCCTCACAGCCTGGAGTGTTGGCTTCTGCCTGTGTCATCCTCACTCAGGGTATGCACCTCTTAGTCCCCTTGAAGGCCCTTAGCATGAGGGCAGTGCTAAATCCAAGGGAGCAGAGCCCCAGCAGAAGGCTTTGCGGTGTGGAGTGCTGGTGGTTGGAGGCCTTTCGGCACCCGAGCCACCTCGTAGAGAACAGGTCTTCCTGCTGTCCAGTCCAGCTACCTTCCACTGCTAAAATAAATCTGCCTAAAATATGGGCTTCTATCCTGCTCCAGAATCTGCCAGGACTCCCCATCCTTCTAAAAGATAAAGTATAAATTCCTCAGTCCAGCTTTTAAGACCTCCAGTGTCTGAATTATTTTCCTTTGCTTCCTCATGTGCACCTGCTGCTGATTGTCTTCACACACGTCGGGCCAATATGAAGGTCTGTGCCTTTGCTCATGCACGCCTCTCTACCTCCCACCCCCCACTCGCCCAGCGCTGCTAGTTAAACCCAGCTGCTGTGGCCCCCACTGTGCCATCCCATGTCTGGCCCTGCAGCCCTTCCTGTCATAGCAGTGAACCCTGGCTCGTATGCCTTCTGGTATGTCTGATTGTTTCATGTTTTGGATTGGCTTCCTTGACTTGATTAGGAATTTCTGGTTTGCAGTGACCATGTCTCTCCTTGTCTCAGTGCCTTCCTGGCCAAACACACAGACCATACTCGGTTATGCCCCTTGATTGATTGGGATATGGCAGCCTGGTCAGCTGGCCTGTGGTGCCGTTTCACTGAGTAGGGGACTGCTTGAGAGCTGGTCCCGGGCTTTCCAGCCCTGCACATCCCCCTAAGCTGTGGGTTTCTGATGGGAAGCTTGGGGGGTGGTTCCTTGAGAAGCTAGGTGTAGAACATGGCCTGCCTTGGAATCCTAGCTGATGAGCTCTGGAAACTTCATTTCCTCATCTACGTAGTTCAGATCTGTTCACTTAATAAATATGTATTGAGTGCCTACTATGTGCCAAGAGCTATTTTAGGAGTTGAGAGTATAGCACTGAGTAGGATAGAGATCTGAACAATGCGAGAGGGCCAGCAATGTGACAATCTTGGGAGTAAACGTTGAGGAAGGAGGGCTCAGTAGGTACAACTGCAGAAGTTCAAGGAACTAGCAGGAGGCCCACAATGGCTGAAACATGGAGGTCGAGGGGAGGCTGGCAGGAGATGGGGCTGGGAGTTGGGCCCAGGCTGGATTCCCCAGGGCCTCACAGGGCCATCAGAAAATGCTGTGCGTTCTCCCCAAAGACTTATGGGGAGCCAATAGAGGATTATAGCAGGTGAGCAACACAATCTGGTTTTAATTAACAGAGCCTGCTTCATTGAACATAAACTACAATTGAATGAGATAGTGCACGTAAGGTGCCTAGTGGTGTGCCTGGTACACAGTAAGTGCTTGATAAGTAGTAATTATTATTTTCCTATTGTGGAGAAAAATGGTTACCTCCTATAGTTTGACCTTAAAAGATGAAGTTTGTGATAGGCTGACGAATGGCGCGCCCAGGACGTCCATGTCCTAGTCTCCGGAACCTGTACGTACATTAGCTTGCATGGCAAGGGAGAATTGGGGTTGCAGGTGAGATTAAGATTGCTAACCAGCTGACCTTAAAATAGGGAGAGCATCCTGGATTATCCAGGTGGGTCCAGTGTAATCGCATGGGTCCTTAAAAGTGAAAGAGGGAGGCAGAAGAGAGTCCGAGGGAGACATGACCATGGAAGGTCAGAGAGATGCACCATTACTGCCTTCGAAGATGGTGTAGGGGCCAAGAACCAGAAATGCTGGAGGTCACTGGAAGCTGGAAGAGGTGAGGCAATGGATTCTCGCCGAAAGCCTCCCGAAGGGAATGCAGCCCTGCCAACATCTTGATTTTAGCCCAGTGAGACCCATTTCGATTTCTGACTGCCGGACTTGTAAGATAAGAAATCTGTGTTGCTTTTAGCCACGAAATATGTGGTGATTTGGTACAGCAGCAATAGGAAACGGATACAAGGATTTTACACCAGGTACTCTAACCTCCAGGTTAGTACGCTCCAATATGACCTATGACCCGTGAATTTTTATTTTTTTATTTTTTTTTAAGATTTTATTTATTTATTGACAGAGAGAGACAGCGAGAGAGGGAACACAAGCAGGGGGAGTGGGAGAGGGAGAAGCAGGCTTCCCGCCGAACAGGGAGCCTGATGTGGGTCTCGATCCCAGGACCCTGAGATCATGACCTGAGCCGAAGGCAGACGCTTAGCGACTGAGCCACCCAGGTGCCCTGACCCATGAATTTTTAAATCACGGTTTCATTCACTGTCTATTGCTTGGCATCTGTGCTTTGGGGGAGTTGACCAGCTAGGAGACTTGGTGTTTTCTGTAACCTCTAGGGGTACCAAATTCCATATGTGCCTCTAGGTGGCACGTTACAACCTTCAAGCACACTGGCAAAGCGAGTCCTGCTTTTCATGGATCTAGAAGGGCAAGGGGAGCTACAGAGCTCAAGGTAAGAGATTGGGCTCTCAGCTCCAGTACCCTCAGGCTAGGGGACCCAGGAACAAGGACCTGCAAGGAGGCTGGGGTTGCCTTGCACTGCCCCCCCCCCCCAAGTCCCTCCATCTGCCTTTTCCCAGTCTTCAGGGCCCAGTCCCCAGGCCGCCTCCTCCATGAAGCACCCCAGCCCACCAGCCCACAGGAAGTAGTCACTCTGAGACTTGGCCCCTCCCCTGGCATGGGCTCTGGGCCCCGCCCGCTCCGGTACTCAAGCTGTGCTTATTTTCCCTTTACTAACCATCAGGTGCTGTCAGAGAGAAGTTGAGAGTATAGCACTGAGTAGGATAGAGATCTGAACAATGTGAGAGGGCCAGCAATGTGAAGATCTTGGGGGTGAATGTTGCAGAAGGAGGGGTCAGTAAGTACAACCGCAGAAGTTCAAGGAACTAGAAGGAGGCCCACGATGGGAGAAGTTGAGAGAGAGAGAGAGAGAGAGCCCGGAGGCAGGCCCCAGGCCAGGCATACATTTAGGGGCTTAGCAGTGCCTGCAGGTTGATTGGTTGGGGCTGGATACAAAGGGTTCATAGGCAAGGGCTTTTTACTTTATCCTTTTAGGGAAATTCATTCTCTCCAGTTGGTTCTCCTCTTCCTTTTGGAGACATTGTTAGAAAAATCACAGCCACAGAGGCTCAGTGCCTGCACCAACCCTTCCTTCACACTGCGGCTGCCAGAACATTCGCTCCAAACCCTACCTCTGACCTAGTCCCTCCTCCTACCCACCCCATCTATAGCTGTGGTTTCGAATGTTTAAATAAGAGCAATCATAATATTTAGCAAAATCACTAGAGAATCTTCTTGGTCAGTGAAATAACAGCCTATAAAACTGAAAGGCAGGATGCATATGAAGTGTGTGGACTCTGGCCTCAGACAGACTAGGTTCAAATCCAGGCTCTACCACTTAGTTGTCTGAGCACGCTGTGCCTCAGTTTCCTCTTCCGTAAAATGGGGACGCTGATAGTACCTAGCTCATGGGCTTGTTGCAGAAATCCTATGTCACAAGGTACGAACACAGAATTTTTTTTAAATTACATTTTATTTTTTCAAATAGTTTTAGATTTACAGAGAAATTGTGAGGATAGTGCAGAGTTCCCCTATGCCCTGCACCTGTTTTCCCCTACTGTTGACATCTTACATTAGGGTGCACATTTGTTACAAGTAGTGAACCAATATTGATACGTAACCCTTAACTAAGGTCCGTACTTCTTCAGATTTTTTTGTGTGTTTACCTAATGATGCGCTTTTCTGTTCCAGGATTCTATCCAGGATAGCGTGTTACATTTAATTGTCCCACCTCCTTAGGTTCCTCTTGACAAGTTCTCAGACTTCCCTTGTTGTTGATGATCTTGTCCGTTTTCGGGGGTCCCGGTGTTTCATAGGGATTCTGCAAGATGTCCCTCTATTGGAATTTGATGTTTTTCTCCTGCTTAGATGGATTGAGCACAGACATTTGAAGTCAGTGGGTCATGGATGGCTACTGTACTGTTCTGTTAGCCTCAGCATCCATGAAATTAAAGTCAAATGTCTGTGGGAAGCCTCAAGCACAGGTTGGAAAATCACAATGGGGAAGATGAAGTCCACGCGCCTGGGTGTGGCCTTCCAGGCCCTCTGTCCTCCCCGCCCACTTCCCCAGTCTCCTCCCCCTGCTTCTCCACATCCTCCGAAGAGGTCTAGACTTTGAGTCATGTTCCTTCTTCTACCTGGAATGCCTTCCCTCTTTTCTCTGCCCCAGTAATTCCTGGTCTCTAAGAAAAGACTCTAAGGTCCAGTTAAACATGTACCTCCTCCCTGATGCCTCTCCCGCTTTCCCTAAGACAAGTAGCACCGTTGCCGGGGTCTCCACAGAAGTTGGCACATCTCTTCTTAGAGTGTCCTTCTTGGGTCACATCTCTGCCTCTTCCTCCAGACTGGAAGCTTCTTGAGAGCGGCAACTGGACCATAATCCTTTTTCCTCATGCCCATGGTGGGGCCTGGCACACAGTAGGTGCTCAAGAGATGCTTAACCAACGACAGGCATTGTAGAGAGGTGCTGTATCTGTAACTGCCTTGATGCAGATCATGTTGCTTTTGTCCTCAAAATGTGAGCTACCCCAGTGGGTGACGGATGCCAGTGGTGAGCCCTTGGGTGGAAAGGCGCTTTCTCCGGGCCCCAAAGGGGTGTGAGAACGCAGTGTGAACATGGAAAGGGCCAGCAGGGGGCTCTGGGAAGTAGTTCATAAGCCCTGCCCGAGAGGAAGGCTCAGGAGTGGCTTCTGCAGCAAGCCTTGGGTCCGACAGGATCCACAAAGAAAGTGTGTCAAAAGAGAGGTCTGTTTTGCTACTGACGTGCCAGGCTCTGTACCAAGGACAGGATGTACCAGCCTGTTCTGAAAACATGTGTGGGCCCCGGTCGAGCTCTTTCTCCCAGAGGTCTCTGCCTGCAGAAATTGGGACAAAAGATACTGATAGCTAAGAAATAATGTTTGCAGAAGCAAATGATCTTGTTATAGCCAAGAGCAGACCTGCACTTCATTCACATTTCCCAATTTCTGCTTCCACTTCAGCGTTAATTTTTCTCCTTGGATCAGAAACTCTTAATGGCCATTCCTAAAAGCCAAGATTATCACTGAGACGTTGGAGCTAAAATTTCCAGGCTTTTTTTGAATTCTGTGAGGAGGGGGAAAGAAAAATAGCTGAGTTAATTTGAGATAATGAAGCTTGAATTAGAAATTGCTCTCTGGGGTCAATAACATCTATTATGTTGTTCTTGTGGCTGATACTATTAACAGTAGTAGTAGTAACAATAGGTCTCGTGTACTGAGTGCCTACTCCATGCCAACGTTGGGATGGAGACCTCTGCCCATGCCAGGCATTGGCCTTGGGGCATCCAAGGGAATTAGACCGGCATCATCCCTGCCCATTCTGCCACAGAGATATTAGCTCCACTTCATAGACAAAAACTGAGGCTCGGCACATTGATTTGTTAAGGCTTCAAGACCGGACCCCTTCTCAATCCCCTAAACACACCCCAAAAGGATCTAAAATGTTTGTTAATCTTAACACATGATGAGAGGAAGGGAAGGGATAATCACACAAGGCAGAAATGTATAGACATTACAAGTAAATCCATCATTAATGATAAAAAGAATGATGTCTTACTGTTCTGGGGCCATGAACTTCCTAGCCTTCAGGATAGATGAATGAGAATACAGGGGAATACTGTTAGAATGTAACACTGTCTATACTCAAAGGACTTTTATACTTTAACAAAAAAGTTTAAAAAGCAAAGTTATGATGGATCCTCTAAACTCACACTTTAAGTTTTTATTTTCATCACCTGGTGCTCATCAAGGACAAGTGCCCTCCTTAATCCCCATCACCTGTTTTGCCCCCCCCCCCCCCAACCTCCCCTCTGGTCACCATCCATTTGTTCTCTATAGTTGAGTCTGTTTCTTGGTTTGTCTCTCTCTCTTTCCCCTCTTTTGCTCATTTGTTTTGTTTCTTAAATTCCACATGAGTGAAATCATATGGTATTTGTCTTTCTCTGACTTACTTCGCTTAGCATAATACTATCTAGATCCAACCATGTCATTGCAAATGGCAAGATTTCATTCTTTTTTATGGCTGAATAATATTCCTCTGTGTGTGTGTGCGCGTGCGCACACCACCTCTCCTTTATCTATTTGTCAGTCAATGGATACTTGCCCTGCTTCCATATCCTGGCTATTGTAAACGATGCTGCCATAAACATTAGGGTACAAAAAAATAAACACTGGGGTGCATGTTTCCCTTTGAATTAGCCTTTTCATATTCTTTGGGTAAATATCTAGTGATGTGATTGCTGCATCATAGGACAGTTCTATTTTTAATTTTTTGAGGAGCCTCCATACTGTTTTCCAGAGTGGCTGCACCAGTTTGCCTTCCCACCAACAGCACATGAAGGTTCTTATTTCTCCGCATCCTTGCCAACACTTCTTGTTTCCTGTGTTTTTGATTTTAGCTACTCTGACAGGTGTGAGGTGATATCTCATTGTGGTTTGGATTTGCATTTCCCTGATGATGAGTGATGTTGAGCATCTTTTCATGTGTCTGTTGGCCATCTGCCTGTCTTCTTTGGAGAAATGTATGTTCATGGCTTCTGCCCATTTTTTAATTGGATTATTTGTTTTTGGGGTCTTGAGTTATATCCGTTCTTTATATATTTTGGATACTAACCCTTTAGCAGATATGTCATTTGCAAATATCTTCTCCCGTTCAGTAGCCTGCCTTTTAGTTTTGTGGATTGTTTCTTTTGCTGTTCAGAAGCTTTTGATTTTGATGTAGTCCTGATTATTTTTGCTTTTGTTTCTCTTGCCTTAGGAGACGCATCTAGAAAAGTGTTGCTACAGCCCATGTCAGAGACGTTACTGCCTGTGCTCTGTTCTAGGATTTTTACGTTCAGGTCTCCTATTTAGGTCTTTCATCCATTTTTGAGTTTATGTTTGTGTAAGAAAGTGTCTTGTTTCATTCTTTTGCATGTCACTGTCCAGTTTTCCCAACACCATTTGTTGAACAGACTGTCGTCTTTTTTCCATTTAAACAATGGAAATACAAATTTCCTGCTTTGTTGAAGATCAGTTGGCCATATATTTGTGGGTTTGTTTCTGGATTTTCTATTCTGTTCCATTGATCTATGTGCCTGTTTTTGTGCCAGTACCATACTGTTTTGATTACTATAGCTTTGTAGTATAACTTGAAGTCTGAAATTGTGATAACCTCGTTTCTTTTTTCTCTTTCAAGATTGCTTTGACTATTCAGGGTCTTCTGTGGCTCCATACACATTTTAGGATGGTTTGTTCTAGTTCTGTGAAAATGCTGTTGCTATTTTTTTTTATTTATTTTTATTCTTATGTTAATCCCCATACATTACATCATTAGTTTTAGATAAAGTGTTCCATGATTCATTGTTTGTGCACAACACCCAGTGCTCCATGCAGAGTGTGCCCTCCTCAATACCCACCACCAATGCTGTTGCTATTTTAATGTGGATTGCATTAAGTGTGTAGATTGCTTTGGGTAGTACAGACATTTTAACAATATTTGTTCTTCCAACCCATGTAAACTCCCATGTTTTAAGAGACAGACTCCACCTCCTCCTCAGGGTTTTGACCCAGCTGCACGTGATCCTCCCTCAGCTCTCCTCTGTTTGGGCCCCTCAATTATGATTATGCTCCCACGAGGTGCCTATCAGGTGGCTCCCTGTCCCGAAGGTTCTTCCATCATTTCTAAGGATGAGAATCCTAAATGGTAAAGTCCAGAACCAAACTTAGAGAACACTTGAGCCCCCAGCTGAAAGACATTAATCGTCCACGGACAGCTTTCTTAAACAAAAGAGAATTTGTAACCGGAGAGCAAAGCAATTTCTGCTCAGAGCCGTGACTAAATGAGGATGTGCAAAAACCATTTGGACTTTTGTCCCACATGATAGCCTCAGTCCCAGTATAGGCACTGTGGTTCCCAGGACCGGGTGTGCACCATGCCCTTGGCTGGGCCCCATGGGGTCTGCGGGCCACTTGGCAGCCCTGCCTGGCACACCCTCAGCCAAGTTCACTTCCCTGAGCGCAAGACTCGCCCGTGCCAGCACGGAGCTATTAATTATTTTTCTTTGTCAAACCTTTGTCAGCAACTTCATCCCAAAAGTAGTGGTTTATTTTCCCTTTGGCAGTGTTTGCGACTCTAGTAAATAAGAGATAATTATACTCCAGTTTTAAAATTAAAACAGAAAAGCTAGAGATGCAAGTGAAGAATTATTTACATTTTACAGCAGCCTACTTCCCTGGTCAGAGATTCAACAGAGTCAGTTTGCTGTGTTTTATGAGGACTCCGAGGGGTTTGAGTGGTTTACGTGTTAAATTTTTATCTTAAGAGGCCTGAAACTCCTGATCTTTTGCTTCGAGGTAACCTTCAGCACCATTCTAAATTCTGTTGTGTTTTAGTCCCTCTGAAGGAATTTAAGGTTCTAAAACTGCGATTAAAATGTGGGAGCTGAAGGAATCGCAAGATGAAACGAGAGCACAGGGCAGCATTTGGAGCTGGTTTGGTTGCATGGTGACCTTCCTGTGTGCATAATGCTCCGATTTGGCAGCTGGGGAGAAAGCCGGACTTGTCTTGTGGCTGCAGAGAGTTTCCTTTTCTTTTTTTCTTTTTTTTGGTCGCCTAGTTTGTGCTTGGAAAGTGAAAATAGATTCAAACGCGTCCTGCCAAACATTTGATCTTGTTGTCATAGGAAGTGAAAGGAATTGTGAGAAGGAATTTTAAAAATGGAATTGGATTTCTAATTTTGTTTGGCCAGTGGCCCCATGTGCGGGGCGGAGAGGTGCTGGGGGCGGGGGGGTTAGCCTCCCGGAGGGACGTTGAGGAGCCTCTCTCCACTGGGCCTCCAGCTCTGCTATGTGAAGGCTTTGGGAGGAGAAGATACCTTCCGCTTACATCAGAGGAACGAATACTCAGATTCAAGGGCCGTGTTCTTTTCAGAGCCTAAGACTGGGCCCAGGAGCCTGCCTGGACACTGGCAGGCTGGCCTCGCTCCCTGCTTTTTGCCTGCCTCCCCACTGATGGGGTGAAGTGTGGAGGGCCGGAGGGCAGTGCCGAGGACCTCACCACTTGGGGGGGGATTTACTTCTGACAAGTGAGCTGTTGGCTGCTCTGATATGGGTGGGCATGGGAGCCCTGGAAATCTCTGAATACTCCCAACAGGCCCCTGGGGCCCCTGGAGCAGAGACGGAATGAGAAACTGGAAACCAGGTTTCCAACACAGTGGAGTGGGCAGAGTCAAGTTTTGTGTGCTATAGGCTCAGCTTTCTCCTAGGCCTTGGCTTCGGTGAATCATAGGAGAAAGCCTTATTTTGACAAGGCAGCCTTTAAGACATACCAACCCCTTTGACGATTAAGTGGTCTTGCCTTCCCCATCCCCACCCCCCCCCCCCACCCCAGATGTGCTCTGCTAACCTGGCAGCGCTCCCTGATGTCATCAATACTGAAATTTATTTGGAGGGATGAGGAGAGTTTTAGCCGATGGGAAGCAACAGCCAGTGTTGACTCCCAAGGGGGATCAGCCTTTACATCATCTGAACCGAAGACGTTTTCTGGAGTGCAGTGTATATTATCACAGATCTTAATTTCAGGCATAGATGTTAGAATAATTTCATTGTGAAATATGGTGCTAGTAAAATTCAGCATTAGCATGAGCAGTCAATAATTCAAACTTTTATTTGCTCTCATGTCGAAGGGATATCTTTCTGCTCCCGTTCAGCCAGGGGGCAAAAAAGAGTGAGAAATCTAGCATTTTGCTGATAATAGTACTTCTTGGCGCCCCCCCCAATTAATTTTTTTTCTTAAAGAAGAAGCGTCTGATTTATTAGGTCTCTGAAATCCACGAGAGTCCTGCAGAGCTTCCTGGATCTTTGCGGAGAGGCTCTTGGCCTCTGCTGTTGGCGCTATTCTAGGCATGCCTTATTAGGGGCAGAAAGTTTGGGAACTTAGGAGAACTGTTTATAACGTCCATTTGTTTCCCCTGTCAACATCTTAATGCCACGCCGAACGGGCTGCTTTGGCACGGTGGTCTGAAGTGGAATGACTGAGGGGGGGATTTTTCCCCTTGGCGAAACTGATCCACTAGCCTGTGTGCCTAGCTTTAGAAGGATTTTCATCTGTAGAATAAATTCGGCCCTTATGAACATAAATGGCTCTGCCACCCTTCGGCAGGCAGATGGAGCATGTGCTTCACATTATTGATTCAAGGCAGCATTAGGGCTGGTGGAAGCAACTTTTTTTTTTTTTAAAGATTTATTTATTTATTTGAGAGAGCGAGAAAGAGAGAGAGAGAGAGTACATGAGAGGGGGGAGGGTTAGAGGGAGAAGCAGACCCCCCGCCGAGGAGGGAGCCCGATGCGGGACTCGATCCCGGGACTCCAGGATCATGACCTGAGCCGAAGGCAGTCGCCCAACCAACTGAGCCACCCAGGCGCCCCATGGTGGAAGCAACTTTTAAGAAAGCAGGGTCTGCACAGCCCCATCTTGCTTCCAGGTCCAAGGCAGTCTTAAAATTGTCCGGGGTTTGGGAGCAGCGCCTTCTGATGGGAATGCTGTGTGACACGAACCTTGCCAAAAACGAATGGATCATTTACAGGAAATAAGAAGTTAAAGAGGAGGATGAGTCAGTAGACTTCAAAGCTCGCTCGTTTCCACAGAACTTAAATAATGAATAACAAAAACTGAGGATTTCACAGACAGTTTACACAGCTCTCGGTGCAGCTGGGACCTTCACCCCGGCTCCAGTGCTGTCTGCTTCCAGGAGGTTCCCTACTGCCTCAGGAAGGAAAAGAAGATAAGGAGGAAGGAAGGACAGAAAGGGAGAGAGAGAAGGGAGGGAATGGAAATGAAAGAAGGGAAGTGATCTTGAAAGGGAGAAGAACGATGGACGGATGGACGGATGGACGGATGGATGGATAGATGGACGGACGGATAGATGATTGGATGGATGGGAAAAGAAAGGGAGGGAGGGACTGAAGGAAGGAAGAAGGAGAAGGGAAGGAGAAAGGGGGGCAGAGGAGGAGGGCCGATCAGACGGTGGGTAGTTAAGTCTGATTTTGCACAAATACATTTTGTGTGGCAAATATCCTGGTACATCTGTCATGTGGATCTCTGTTTAGCTGATTACTAAAGTCAGATAGAATTGTGTATTTTTTTTTAAATGCCACTGAGTCATTTCTGAGCTCATAGACAAGGAGTTTAAGGAGTTCTATTTTGGAACTACTTATAATGGAGAACTGTATTTGAGAAAACCAGGGGCTGGTTCAGATTATAAGCACAGTGCAAACGTCTGTCACTTTAAGGAAACTTGCATATCAATGAAACAGACCGATTAGGGAGATTTATGCATATTATAAAAACCTTTTGATTCAGCAATTCCACTTTTATGAGTTTATTCTTAAGAAATCAGTGGACATCATATATGATTGGACACCAATCCTATGGTATAGCCGGTAGTAATATACTTTATAATGTCATTAAAAATACAACGCAGTTGTATATTATTGACATGGAATGATTATATTATATATATATTTGCATTGAGCAAAATCTGGGAATGCATACCTAAAATGTTGACCGTGAGTAAGTCTGGAAGGTAGGGTTTGGAGTGATTTTAATTTTTCCGTCTGTGTTTCCTAATTTATTTTCTACAGTGAGTATGTATTACTTGCCTAATATAAAAATAATTGGGGGGGGCGCCTGGGTGGCTCAGTTGGTTAAGCGGCTGCCTTCGGCTCAGGTCATGATCCCAGGGTCCTGGGATCGAGCCCCGCATCGGGCTCCCTGCTCGGCGGGGAGCCTGCTTCTCCCTCTCCCTCTCCCTCTGCCTGCCGCTCTGCCTACTTGTTCTCTCTCTCTATCTCTCTGTCAAATAAATAAATAAAATCTTTAAAAAAATATATTAATTGGTAGGTGAGGAGGATTTTTCACTCTGAGAGAGAGGATTTATTTAATAAGCTTTTTTTCCACAGAGAAGGGCCCAAGTTCAGTTTGTGTTTACCGAGCCCCTCCCAATGCTGGAAGGGGAAAAAAAACTTTCCCAAATGTCAAAATCCTGTTTTGGGATCTTTTTTGCCTTAAGGGCCCCCCGGCGCCTAGGCTTCCTTCTTGCTTATAGCTTGACCTGAGTCTCCTCAGAAGGCCGGAGCCAGCAGATACCCTTCTGACTTGGGGGCATCTCTGGCGGGGTGGCACCCTCTCCTCAGGCTTCAACACCCCAGCGTTACCAGGTTCTGATGGGAAGTGACCATTGGCCACTCAGGGCAAGCTTGGGTGTTGCACAAGACTCAGAGTCGAGGTGGAGAGGAGAACACATTTACTTGAAAGAAAACAAAACAAAACAAAAACAAAGTGCAAGTCATTGTAAAGTTCCTGCTGGCACACTCCTGTGGGCCCTGAGGAAAATCAGGAACTGAATTCCTGCCCCACTGTCAGAAATTCTCCAAGGAAGTCGGCATGGGCCCAATGAGAGGCCAAAGTGGAGCGCGGGCCACCTACCTGGGCTTTTGTTCATGACGGATGCTCCCAGTCTCTGGCTGGGTGGCTTGGGTTTGTTCCCTCAGTGTGGGCTTGGCGAGGCTGCCCTGGCAAACCCTGACCACAACAGGCCTCAGAGGTCTCCCCTCTGGATCTTGTGCTTCCATGTGTTTGGGGGCTGTGGTGACCTCTGGGACCAGCTTCCCACTTTGGTCTTGTTTTCTCTTTGTTAGGTCCAGCTGGTCTCATCCCTGGGGGCAGGATGGGTGTGGGAGGACGATGAAAGACAGTTGGGATTCTTCAGCTGGTGGGTTGTGGGCCTGGAGTAGAGCCGAGCTTCTCAGCCATCCCTACCACAGCCTCCCCCAGCCCTAGTTCCTGGTTGGGACATAACCTCTGGTTCTGACTTGAGCTGGAGCCGGCACGATGATTGCTTTTTCTCCGTAAGGCAATTGTACTTCGTTGGGGCCTAACCGAATCTTTATCCTGCTACCCACTGCCTTTGGGACCCAGGCAGGTCCCTTCACCTCTCTGAGCCTCTGTTTCCTCACCTGTGACATTTTAGCTTTCTTGGGGGTTGAAGACTAAATGTGCTAACAGGAAAATGCTTCCAGGAGCGCCTCGCATGCTGTCATCATAATAATTATTACTGCTGTGATAACTGACATTTATTGAAGAATGCTTTGTGCCGGGCACTCTTATAAACACTTCGGGTGCAGTAATTTACTTAATCCTCACAATGGCCTGTGAGGTAGGTACGAACAAATCCCATTTACAGGTAAGGACATCGAACCACGGAGAGAATGAATAACTTGCCCAAATTAGTAAGTGAATTAGTGAAGTAACCAGGCTGTGACCAGGGAGGTTCTTTTGTTGTTGTTGTTTTAACTGTGGTAAAATACACACAGCATAAAATTTACCATCTTAACCGTGTTTAATGGTACAGTTCGGTGGCGTCAAGCACGTTCACGTTGTTGTGCAACTCGTCTCCACAGCTCCTTTCATCTTGCAAAACTGAAACTCTATACTCATTAGACAGCAAGTTCCCATTAACCCTGCCACCCCCAGACCCTGGAAACCGCCATCCTACTTTCTGTCCCTGTGATTTTGATGACTCTCAGTACCTTGTATTTGTCTTTCTGTGACCGGCTTATTTCACCCAGCATAATGTCCTCGAGGTGTATCCATGCTTGCTTCTTTTTTAAGGCTGAATAATATTCCATTACATGCACAGACCACGTTTTTGTTTATCCATTTATCTGCCAGTCAACATATGGGTTGCTCCCACATTTTGGCTGTTGTAATGCTGTTGTGAACATAGGTGTATCTGTTTGAGTCCCTGCTTTCAGTTCTTTGAGGTATAAACCCAGAAGTGGAATTGTTGGATCATATGATCATTCTATTTTTAATTTTTTGAGGAACTGCCATACTCTTTCCCACAGTGGCTGTAACATTTTACTTTGCCACCAGCAATGTGCAAGAGTTCCAGTTTCTCCATGTCCTTATCAGCACTGGTTTTCTGGTTTTTGGAGAGTAGCCATTCCAGCGGGTGTGAGATGGTATCTTATCATGGCTTTGATTTTCATTTCCCTGATAACTAGTAACTTCAGTATCTTTTCATGTGCTTATTGGCCATTTGGGTATCTTCTCTGGAGAAATATCTATTCAAATCCTTTACCCTTTTTTTAGTCAGGTGGGGTGGTTTTTTTGTTATTGTTGTTGAATTATGGTAGTTCTTTATATATTCTGGATACTAACCCCTTATCAGATATACAGTTTGCAAATATTTTCTCCCATTCCATGGGTTGTCTTTTCACTCTTCTTGGTTGTGTCCTTTGATGCACGGAAGTTTTAAATTCTGACATTGTCCAATTTGTCTACTTTTGCTTCTGTTTCCTGTGCTTTTGGTGTCCTATCCAACCAAGGGGTTCTTTTGGAGTGATCTATAGTTGAAGAAAGCTGGAAGAAGCAAATTCTACTCAATTTTTGTGGAAGGTAAGACACGAAGACCAAAGACACCACTCTGCATGGTGTTGAACAGTACAGAGAGACTTAATAAAAAAAAGATAAAGTATAACTGAGGGAAGGCAATTTGGGATTGGATCTCAGCCCAAAATCAAGAGAATACTGAATACTGTATTACCAGACACTCTTTGAGGCAGAAAAAAGAAAGGGTCCTCAAGGGCTGGGAGCCAAGAAGTCCAAATAAGAATAAAAAATTAGGAGAAGATGAGGGAAATAACAGGTCTTTGAGGATCTAAGACGGGGAGGGGGCTTTTAAGATCTCCTACCTTTGCGGTAATTACAGAACAGGGGGGAAGGGTGCGCATTGGGGAAGGAATTACTGGGTGAAATTTGAGCAGGGAAGTTGACAAATTCTCCTGGCTGGGGAAAAGGGAGGGTCTACAGACTGGGTTAAACTGGATTTTGCAACTGTATAGGAGAAAAAGCAGGACCAGGAGGAAGCCAAGGCTGCTAATTAAGAGAGAGGGAGGGCTTTTCAGAGACCCAAGGAAATGACTGCAGAGCTAAATTCTTAGTCCCTTTCAGCCTTCCCTGTAAGGGTTCCAGTCACAGTGAATCCGGCACAGCCAGGGCATGCAAAGAAACATCTGAAGCCCATGCAATGCCCATCGGTTTCTGTTATTTAGTTTTTAAATGGAGAGAAATATACCGTGGCAGGAAGAACCCTGGCCATGATTGTCGCTACCAAGCCCTGAGAGGCGGGGCAAGTCTCATGCAGAGAGGCCAGCGCACTTAAAGCAGCAGTCCAGGAAGACAGTTCCCCAAGCCAGGAGGAAGTTCGGCTAGAAAGACGCTGTGCTGGGAGGCAGAAGCCCAGGGGCCGGCTGGCTTTGCAGTGAATTTCCTCTGCTTCGGGGCTTCTTCGCATCTTTTTCTTTTCTTCTTTTTAAATATCCTCTCTCTTTTTTTTTTTTTAATAATTGATGTATAGCTGACATACGATGTTATGTTAGTTTCAGGTGTACCCCATAGTGAATCAACCATTCCCCACATCACTCCATGCTCACCAGAGTAAGCGTGGTCACCATCTGTCACCACGCAACGGTATCACAATATTATTGATTATGTTCTTGGTGCTGTACTTTTCACCTAGAAAACAAAGGCCATAGCAAGTTGATCTTGTTTCAGACAGGCAGAGAGTACTATTCAAATGATCTCAAGGAATGGGGGTTTATTTTAAGGATGCACATTGATAAGAACTCTCAAAAAACAAAAGCCAGAGACTACAGGCTGAGCAGCCACCACACGGCGACTGGACCTTAGGAGGAAGGAACGTGGAAAGTGCTCAGAATCCAAGGCAGCAGGAGAGGCTCTGGAGGTAGAAGTTTCTGGATCTGCGGGCTGGTGTGCCACCATTCCAGTGACTCTGTCTACTCCAGATCTTTTTTTCCATCTTTGCTTCTACTTGCCCATCCTTTCTACTTGCAGCAATGATTGTTCTGTGGGCTCAGACTCGGAGCCCAAAGGCTCGTTTTTAGCAATGATGAGGGTGATGATAATAGCTGACATTTGTTGAGGGCATACTGTGTATCAGGCACTGTTCTAAGCACTTTATAGGTCTTAAATCACTCAATCTATTATTCCCAGTTGATAGATGGAAACCACTAAGGCCCAGTGAAACATTTTGTTCACGGTCACACAGCTAGGTAAGCAGCATAACCAGCGTTCAGGTCCAGAGCTTGTGTTCTTCACACCACCCACTGCCTCCCAGCAAGGTTGGAAGGAGTTAGCAGTCAGAGGTCATAAATTCCTATTTCCTTCAATGGTCACCCAAGCAACTGTCAACTGTCTGACAATTCACATCAACCTGTTTGGGACGTTTAGTATTTTTCAATCTGTAGCAGCTCTGAGAAGTGGTACTATTCTGAATTTACTCAGTGTCGTAGCTTGATGGACGCAGGTGTTTGCCATTATGGGTTCCTTGACATGGGACAGGCAAGAGGTCTGAGGATCAGACCCAACTACAGAGAGTGGCCCCGATGAGGACATCCAAGCATGGTAACAAGGATTACGGACATCTCAGCCCTAAATACAAGTGTTTACATTATATCCAATTAGTAAAATCTAGGCAAAGACATGGGACTGGGCTTCAGGGTGAGGGTTGGAGTATTAAGCCATGAGAATGGATGAACTTTCCTAGAGAGAATGTATGAGGCGGTGACTCCAACTACATATATCAGATTCTTTCTCTGAGAGTCTAAATACCAGATCTAACAACAGACATGTTTTTCTTTAATCTGCCTTTTAAGATCTCCTACCTTTGCGGTAATTACAGAACAGCTTTGCTGAAATGGACTTCACATGGTCTTAGGATACCTACCAGAGCATATCTCAGCTGCCCACCTGCTGACACCTAACTGCCAAGGCTGTCCTTTGTGGGCAGGCTGGGGATGATTACAAGGGCAGTGATACATCAGACTCTCAATGCCCTAATTGCAGTGTTTTTACTCATTTATGTATTTCAATGGAAAACAATGGTTTAAATTCTTGAACTGGAATTGCACAAATAGAATTTGGACACTCCTTTCCTTAATCCACAAGATAATTGGAAAAGCCAAAAGGATGCATTCTACAAATATTGGGACTGATCTTATCTTTTTCTGATCTTTTTCTTTTGGAACTAAACTATCTACCCTCTAGAAATATTGGAACAAGTCAGGCCTGGAGCATTCTTGATTGAGCGGTTCATGATCTATTGATAGAATGCAAAGCCTTACCAGGTGACCATGCAAGCCAGATGCTGCAGCTTTTTTTTTTTTTTTTTTTTTTAAGATTTTATTTATTTATTTGTCAGAGAGAGAGCACAAGCTGGGGGAGTGGCAGGCAGAGGGAGAGGGAGAAGCAGGCTCCCCGCTGAGCAGGGAGCCCCACGTGGGGCTCGATCCCAGGACCCTGAGATCATGATCTGATTTGAAGGCAGATGCTTAACCGACTGAGCCACCCAGGTGTCCCCAGATGCTGTAGCTTTAACCTGACTTCTCCCTGCTTTGGAGGGTATTCCAGCCAGGGAAGGGCTTTGACCCACAGCTGTCAAATTGTCATCTTCTGTGTCTAATTGGAGATGTGTTGTAGTGCTTTCCCATTTAGGAGTCTTAGGCTTGTTTCTTTTTTTAAACTTAAAATTGTTCCATATTGGGGCACCTGGGTGGCTCAGTCGTTAAGCGTCTGCCTTCGGCTCAGGTCATGATCCCAGGGTCCTGGGATCAAGCCCCACATCAGGCTCCCTGCTCCGCAGGAAGCCTGCTTCTCCCTCTCCCACTCCCCCTGCTTGTGTTCCCTCTCTCGCTGTCTCTCTCTCTGTCAAATAAATAAATAAAATCTTTAAAAAAAAAATTGTTCCATATTTACCTCTCCATCCATAGATCTACTACTCACTTACAGTGTTTAATAACTTCATAGAATCGCAATGAATCGCTACACCAAATTTACTTAACCTGCTCCCCTATGGTTGGACATTTAAACCGATTTGATATTGGTTCTTCTTAATCTGCTGTTAGAAACTTTGTTCACATTTCTTACTTTTCTTTCTTTTTTTTGTCTCTCTTTTCCTCTTGTGTATTTCCTTGGGATGTAGTCCCCAAGAGGAATTAAGGATCCAAAGGTTTATGGTTCTTGTTCCACGCTGTCAGAAAGCCTGCGGAAACCCTGGGGTCATTTGCAGTGGTCCTAGCAGTGGCTAAGTACGCGTGTTCCCGTCAGCTCTGCCAATGTTGCCTAATCGTGGTCTCTTACATTGTTTTCAAGTAGGTATTCGGTTATTTTAATTCCTATTTCTTTAGTAGTGAGACTGAACCCCTTCCCAGGTGCTGGTTTATCCGGTATGGTTCCCAGTGTGCATGTGCAGATATATAAAGTGTCTGGCATAGGGCTGTGACTTACTGACATTCCTTCTCTCTCTCTCTCTTTTTCCTCTGTCCCTTTGCTCTCGGTCAAGTGTGTTCTCATTGCTGATGGCAGTGTATGTTTATATCACAATGTAAGATTTCATTCCTACTTTTGGATCTTAAATATTTACCCATTGTCTGTGTCATAACTTCGAACTTCCTTTTGCCCCTTTGTGTTTGTTACTTTTTATTAAGGAGACTTTAAGTAGACTTTAAAATATATATATATTTTTAAGATTTTATTTATTTGACAAAGAGAGACACAGTGAGAGAGGGAACACAGACAGGGGGAGTGGGAGAGGGAGAAGCAGGCTTCCCACGGAGCAAGAAGCCCGATGCGGGGCTCGATCCCAGGACCCTGGGATCATGACCTGAGCCGAAGGCAGACACTTAACGACTGAGCCACCCAGGCGCCCCTAGACTTTAAAATATTTGAATTCACCTTTCTCTAGTCTTAGGATACTATTTTGTTTTTCAGTAGGCATGGATTTCTCTCTCTGCTACAGCCGACATAAATGCATAATTTTTTTTCAGTGCTCTCTGTGTTTAATTAGTTCATTGACCAATTTGGAAAGTATTATCGTGTTTGGTGAGTTACGAATACGATCTACTTTTCTTCATAGTGATACCAGATTGTTCCATTAACATTTATTAAAGAGTGATTCTTTCATTCATCACTGTGATTCTTTGTTTTGTTTGCTGTATCCCAAGGACTTATCGGTGCTTAAATCCATCTCTGGAATCACTGTTTGATTAGTCTTTGTTCTGGCTTTGATCCAGCAAAATTCAGTCTTGATGAAGATCACTTTATAATATATCCTTAAATTTAATTATTATACCCTCCAACAATCTTCTTTGGTATTATTATGTATTTATTTTTCCTTATTAATTTTGCTAGTGATTTATTACATTCTAGAACATTCTGGCAGGACTTCAGTTGTTCTTATGTTACTCTATTTTTTTATGGACTAATGTTACTGATATTACTCTAAATTTTCTAAGTGAGGAGGAGTGGATATAACTTTGTTTAGGTATTCTTTTATTTTTCCTACTATGATTTTTATCATTTTTACTTCACTAGATATCTTCTGCACCTAGATACATAAATTCTCAAGTATTTCCTTTGTTTCAGTATTGGGCATAGCACCATTTTTCGTTGCCTTTTCTCGCTTTACATCAATGGTATGCATTTGGTTGATCTTGCATTTTCTATTTGCTCTCTCGTATCACCTGCAAAAACGTGATAGTTCTAATTCTGCCTTCCTATATTTATTCTGCAGTTCTTTTCCATCTTGTCTTGCAATATTGTTTAATACTCGCTCCAGTGGGAGTGCTGAGAAGGGCATCTTAGGCTTCTGCCTGTGTTTGCAGCCATGGCTGCTCATGGCCATTTAAATTTAAATAAATTAAAAGTTAAATAAAGTAAAAAATTCAGTTCCTCTGTCACATTAGCCACATCTGAGTGCGCAGTAGACACACATGACTTGTTATGACTGCATGGGACAGCACAAATAAATACTCCATCATTGCAGAAAGTGTTAAGGCACAGCACTAATCTACCATTTCCACATGAAGAATAATAGTGAGGGGTGCCTGGGTGGCACAGTCGGTTAAGTGTCCGACTCTTGGGTTTTGGTGCAGGTCGTGACCTCAGGGGCGTGCGAGGGAGCCCCCTGTCGGGCTCAGCACTTGGTGCAGAGTCTGCTGGAGGATTCTCTTTCTCCCTCTCCCTCTGCCCCGTCTGCTTGTGCTCGCTCTCTCTCTCAAATAAATAAATCTTTTTTTTTTTTTACAAAAGAATAATCTTGAAACTCAGATTTAAATCTGTGATCTTTTTTTATCTTAAGGTATCCATCTCCTCTTCCTATTTTGAAGACTTCTTTTAAATAATTAACATTGAATGTTAATGATGGCCTTCTCAGCATCCACCAATAGAATTCTTAGATTTAAAAATTGATTTTTTTTTTTTTTTTTACATGAAAGCATTGAACTGTCCTAATAATTTCCCCCATCTAGTGCTGGTTCTGTCTTTGTAAAATAGCTTACGCTTGTTTATTTTTTAAACATTTCCCCTTTGTCTATAGGAAATTATTTATGGTTTATTAAACTATATTCTTGTACAGGGTAGTCCTAGCATTCTCTCTCGCTCAGTGTTGTCCTCAGGTGTTTTAGATCAAGATCTTATTTACTCCCTAATATGACTTATATGATAAACAATCTTGTATTCTGAAACCTTTTATGTAACTGATATTTGAAAATTTATAGATGTTCTCTGGAGAACCCATTAGGGGCTTCTTTTAGAAATGTATGGAGGGGACAGAACTTTTTTATTTTTTTATTCAACATAATTAGTTCAGTAAGCACCGTCGAATGTAAACCTCTCCTGTGAAACACAGGGCAAAATGCTGTATGGCAAGATGAACATAATATTGGCTATTGAAAAGAATGAGGCTTTCATAGCCCCTTTCACAGGATTCTTCAAGGCTCTCTCCTACCCCTCAGTGTCCCCCTGTTGTACTCCCCAGCTTGACCACCAGGTCAGTCCTCTCACATACGCCCCAGCTCCAGTACAGTGACCACATTCCGTCATCCCAAGTATGAGTTTCTCTTGCAGAGAATGCCCTTTTCCCCCTCTCATTCACCCTGAGGACCCACCCAAAGTTCCTGTCTTTGTGATTTTCCAAGTGATTTCTTTCTGCTCTCATCTTAATGTATTCCTTGAGCATGTCATTCTTTTTGGCAAATAACTATTCACAGCCTTGTATCATCTAATTATCTTTTGTGTTATTATGTACCTCTCCTGTGTCTAAGGTCCCTGTAGGGATAGGAGTGAAGGTAGATTTCAGGTCTCTCATTTCTTTTGTTCAGCAGACACGGGCCAGTATATAGCGCTAAGTATGTGGCAGACATTCAGAGATACTTACTGAACAAGTGTCTTGATATATTAGCGATTCTTACTCTATTACCAGGAAAACTAACAAAATCTCTGGCCATGGGCAGGATTTAGAGCTTTTGTAAACTAGTATAACCTATTTGGAGAAACAGGCAAAAGAGTTTCCATAAAGGACCATACTCATCTTCCCGATTGAATTCAGCCCCTTGTTCCCTCACACTCAACAGGTAACTGCTGAGTTATGCCCTCCTTCCCACGTGCCACAGGTGGGAGAATCAGGGTTGAACAAAATAAACATGGCCTCTGGCTTCATGGTGTCCACAGTCCAGTAGGGGAGATTGGTATTAAATAAGTATACCACCAAATAAAGATGTCGTAAGAAATTGTGCTAAGTACTACAAAGGAAAGAGAAGGATATGGATGAAGTTAACCCGGCTGGCTGGGTGGGGCCTCAGATTAGGAAGTGACATTTAAGGCGAGAGCTGAAGGATGGATTACATTACATTAATATGAATGAAGAAGCCAGGTAGAGGGAAGAGCATGTACAAAGGCCCTGAGGTGTGAAAGAGCTCTGTGGGTTTGAGAAACAACCACAGGCCAGTGTATGAGTAGAGCATGGTAAATAAGTTGGGGGGAATTGACATGGGTTGAGGCAGGTCCAGATCCAAAGCGCCCTTATGGTGCTGGATTGGGCATTTGGATTTTTAACCAGCTTTAAGCAATCTGATGTCCATTTTAAGAGATTTTTCTAAGCCAATATATGTGCCTAGTATTGCTCCAAGCAAAATACATATGTTATCTTATTTAATGCAGAGAACATCCATATGATATAGGTACTTTTAATATGCACATTTTCCAGTTGAGGAAACCAAGGCCCAGAGATGTTAAGCAACTAGCCTGGAGTCACAAGCACATTTGTAAAGGGGCCAGTATGTAACCAGTTGTCCTGGGCCTCCAGAGCCCAAGCTCTGACCACTGGGTGGCCTTGCCACAGCATCACTTGGCCACTGCGTGGCTTGTGGAGTTGGGCAGCGTAGGTGCAGGCTGATAAATTCGGGGTCTCTTTCAGCAGTGCAGGTAAGAGGTCGTACCTTAGACTGGGGGTGCTCTGTAACTGGAGAGAAACCGATATTCTGGGGTGGGGCCCAGATGGAGAAAGGGAAACATGATAACGTGGGAATAAATAGGTATGATTTATTTAGACATTTAAAAAAAGTCTTTAAAGTCTCATTTTAAAGAATTTGAAATTTATAAAAGAAAGTAATCAGCAAAAGCACCGCGTGAAAAGCAAATAAAAATAGGATCAGAAATGAAATGCAAATCAGACTAATAAACAAGCTTTTCCTTAATTGATACAGTGGGAAGAAAAGAAGAACTGAGAAAGGAAATGCAATTATTCTAAAAGAAATGTGTCATTTGTATGGAATATTGTTTATAACTCCTTGCTAAATTAGCTAACCAAGCCGAAACAGATAACTAAACTAGTGAGTAAATAGATAATGAAGTTGGTTCACAATTTAGTGTCGTAGCAGATATGGGATCTGCTGCCCACTCTTTTCCTCTCCTCCCCTCCTCTCCCTGCCTGCTGAAGTCTGACCAATCCTCCTGACCCTGTTCAAATCCCTCCCCAAAATAGAAAAATGAAACTATCACCATGAACCCGTGGTTGTTTTAGCCCAAATCCACAATGACCAGCAGGACAGATGGCCTCACGGTACTAGAAGCAAAGGTTACGTTCTGTGCAGCCTTTTCTATTGAAGAGAGCAGGGGAGGGTTTAATCTGCTCTAGAAATGGTTTCTACCCTAACAGACACATTTTCAACAAGCAAGTTTTGGAGCGTGAAGACATAAGAAAGAATTCTCTGGAAACTGATGTGGATCACCTAGTGGGCCAAATAAAGTCAGAGTGGAGCATTTGTGGGTGAATTGAGCTTGTAAGATTTTAGGTGAAAACCTCAAATACAGCTGCCATGTTGTGAACTGTATTCTCTTGAGAAAAGGTGAATGACAGGCGTGAGAAGTACACCTCCATCAGGTTATCCAGGGGAGATGGGAGGAGACCTGATGCTGGTTTCCAGGGACCAGGACTGGGTCCAGTCTCAGTGTGTGTCCCAGAAGCTCAAAGAGTGACGAGAGCGGGAGAGGGTAGCCAAGTGTGGCTGCCATTCCCACCTCTTGCCCGCCTTCTTCAGTACTCCCTCCTCCCGGGAGAAGTCTCCCCAGCCGTGGAAAACCTAGGACAGGGCTCACGACCCGCCTATGTGAGCTCCTTTAGTGGGCGAGCGGCCCTTTACAAGGGTACCAAGTGCCCTCTGTGAGGGCATTGGGATATTTGCAGAGTGGCACGGAAGGTGAGCAGAGACGTCAGCACGGGTGGGGTGTCAGGCCGTGTGCATTAGGCACGGCCAGGTTACAAACCTTAGGAAAGCAGTCCGGCTTGTGCATACCAGGTTCGGGTCACCACAGTTTCCTTTTCCGTAGACTGTTCCTCATTGGAAAGGAAGGAAGGTTAGCAAGGTGAGCGGGAGGAAGGAAAGAAACAGAGGGGGTGGATAACTAGATGCTAATACGAGGCCACTCATTCGTGGACATTTGGCATTACTAAGACAGGACAGAGCTGGGTCCTGGGAACTCTGATGACCAAGGTACAATCTCCAGTTAACGTCTTTGGCTAGTCAGCCACATGTCCACACATACTGGTATGTCTAGACATTATATGCGAAGTCCTAGATGTAGCACCTGGTGCATATTTGGTCCTTAGCAAAGCCTGACCACCCTCATATAACCATTTCCGTCATCATCAGGAGGCTGTGAGATCCTTGAGGACAGGCAACTGTCCACGTGTCTCCAAATCTCTGGCTTGACCAAGTGTCTAGTGCACATGTCAGAGTCCATGAGCGTATGGTGACCTATTGACTAACTGAATGAATACATTTCTGAGCACCTGTGCCCTGCAGGCACCTTTAAAAGGCATGGAAAAAGCCTCTGAGACCTAAAACGAGAGGGGGCGTAAATAAAAAATGTTATAAATTGAAAAGCTCGTGCAGAGGTAGCATTTGTGAAGTACCATGTGAGTGAAAAACAGAGGGAGCTTCAGGAATTTGGGGGAGGAATAAATTATGTGGATTGGTAGGGAGAGTGTGACATGTATTAATCCAGAATCAGGTTCAGAGTTTGGGAAAAGTGCTAACCCTTTAACCCTGTGACAGTGGGAATGGGGAGAACAAAACCCCTCCCCAAGCAGGGGAGGCGTTTGCAGACACCCTCATTCAGTTGGGTGCTGCTAAATATTTAACAACCAGCTCTCCAGGAAAAAAAGTATGTGTGTAAATGCATATATACACTTGATCTTAGCCAAAAGGCCGAGAAGCGATGTGTAAATGCATATATAAATGTAAATTTTTCTGATATGAAGGATCTGTAGCACAAAATTCACAAATAATAATAAGATGTCCAATACTTCCTTGTAAACTCCATAAGCCAGTCGGTTGCCACAGAATTTTTTTTTATTTTTGTTGAGCTCTTGTGTTCACAGCTGACTTGTGGGTACAATTCAACCATTTCAGTAGAATTTCATCCCAATCCACTCTTTCCCAATACATTCATTGTTATTAAGTCAGATAATGTGATTTGCTAACCTATTTTTCACCCTTGTGCATATTCATTAAACTGAAACCTCTTTCCGCTTCAGCATTAAGTATGTCAGAACTTACTCATTCACTAAGACATGAACATCTTTGCTGAATCAGATAAGAGTTTTCGAATACTAGGAGAGCATTTTCCTCTTTTTTTTTTTTTAAAGAACACTATTCACAATGTAATGACTTTAGATGTGACTCACTTTTAAGTTTAATCTGCATTATTGACATTTCTTCCATCACTTTCTTAACTCTAGATAATCGACAAAACAAGAAATCAAGCACTGACTTGTAACGTTTGCCGATTTCCAAAGTGCACATACCCCCACTGTGGCCAATTTTGTGAGATCCTTGAATGTGGAATTGGAGAGAGAGGGACAATAGCACACCATTATGTGGTATTTCTACCATATAGAGACTGCAAATGTAAATAATCTCAAGGGCGTGGATAAAATAAGTGACGAGTCTGAGTATTTATTACCTCTGTTTTTAAGCATAATGTATTTAATTATAAGTTTATGTTTTAAATTTTAATCATGGTTGTTTCTAACCACCAGCCCAATGAATTCTTACGATTTCATAATGGAGAGAGCTGGTAGGAGCCGGCTTCCTTCCTAATGAGGGTGAGTGTCTCCTCTTTTCTTCACCTTGCCCCTCCCAGACGCTCAGGGCTCAGTGGCCCAGGCTGCCTCCAGCAGAAAACGTCACGCTGGGGCTCCTTGCCTTCCAGAGTCTGACCCCACGCTTGCTGCAGGGAGTCCTGACCCCTCAGCCGCAGGGCTCCCTGCTCCTCGTGAGGTTCCACGGATTCCCTAGAACTGCACATTTCACACTTCTTTCCATGGTATCTTTCTTTAAAGACAAAAACTGTGGCGGTGACAGAGGACAATTATAAACAGAGCACTTGGCCTAGTTTCCCCGAAGTGTTCTTCAAAAACTCCCTCCTGACCGCCTCCTTAAAGAAACCCGAACCTGCCTGACGGGTTGGAGAAGTTCACGACCTTCCGCGCACAAGAACAAAGAGACACAATTCCTACTATCACAAACGCAAACTTTTATTGGCAAAGCAAACTTTTATTGAGAAATTTGACATAAACAAGCTCCCCCTGGCTCCACCCTCGGCCTGATTTTCCTTTCTTAAGCAATAACCCTTTCACACAGATGGGGAAAAGCGGCCAAGTGGGAGGCTGGAATAACCTGTCTGCCCCACTCCCCAGGCTGACTCACAGAAGTTTATTTTTGCCCTGGTTGGTAAACAGCTGATCTCCCATCCGGCCAGTGCCCCGTCACCTCCTTCAGGCTACCTTGCCCCTCCCCAGCCCTGCTGCCCACCCCAACCCCCCCAGTCTGGCAACAGCAGGTGCCTCCAGATCTGCTCCCACAATGGACGGGACAGTGCCCAGATTCTGCCCGTTGTTAAGTATTTGGACTGTGCCCCTGCCTGCATCCTCTCAGTTACAGGGTTTGAGCCACAAAACACCCCGTGTGCTCAGCCCCCACCTCCAGATCCCAGCCAGAAGGCTGAGACCCACCTCCTGGCCGCAGGACCCATTTTGTTTTTAATAGAGAAGAACTCAGCAGCTTGGAATCCAGCAAGCGTTTTCAGAATCCAATGATTCTGCTCACGCCAGTCCACGACCAGTTTGGAGGTAGCTTCACTCACTTCCCCCCACATCCCAGTTCCTTTAAAACCCTGGGTGCTCTCACTTGCACCAACACACCCCCAGCCCCACCCACCGGGGCCTTACCACCCGTTAGACCTCCCAAACGTTGACCCTCTGCCCGCCTGGGCCTCACCGTGCCTGTGTCCCAAACCCCGTGCCACCCCGCGCCCCACCTCACCCTCTCCCCACCTCCCTGACTCTCGTGACTCTCTCTGCTATCAGCGCTCTGTCACAGTGCCTCACTCGCCCACGGGGACTTTCCCTCCTCTTCTGCTATGGGTTCTGAACCCAAGTGCTCCTCCAAACCCAGCTGGGAATAAGTTGTTGGCTACCTTGTTCCGGCAACAGCCCTGGCCCTCACAGGGGTCCGGGGACTAGTTTACATCGGGTCTCCTGCCTTTTGACCCAAATCATAAAAGAGGTGGAAGGGAAAGGATTCTGCGAAAGAACTGTAGTGTGATCAGTATCCAATCATAATAAAATCATGTGTTGCGCAGCCATGAAATGTTTCCTACTTTGCTTTGGGTTGTGGAATTACTACTGAAGGCAAGTAATTAGGTCGTGGGTTGTTTTTTTGTTGTTGTTTTTCCTTCCTCATTTTCGTTCTCGCCTGTTGCTTTAAAGAACTTTGCTCACAGATGTTTAAGAATTTAAGAAGTGAATTCCAGTAAGAGGCCTATTGACTAATTTTTCAACCTTGTTCAGTAACTCTTTTTAAAAATACTGTGCATGTTTAGGACAGGAGGGTTCTCCAGTTGTCATTTCATGAGATAAATGTGTTGGGAAATGAAGAGAGTATAAATAGATGTGAATGTCATTTGATCTAATTGAAGATGAATGCTGAATTTTAGGAGCTGTTGTAAAATCGAGTCCCGATTCCAACTTGCCTTGAAAGAGATTTATGATCATGGGATATGAAGCCTTGTCTCCCAAGGGCTGCCTGGGTGACCGTTAACTCCTTCAGCTCAGTACTCTGCATCCAGAGCAGCCAGCCTGCAAGGTGGATGAGGGAGGAAGGAGGGATGTTGCAGAAGGTTTGACAGGTCAACAGAACAAAGCAAAAAAATAACACAACTGCTTCATCCTGGCCATGAGATGGGAAGGGGTTGGATGCACTAAGAGCCACATTCTATCCTGTGTATGTTTTGCCAACTTGGCTATCCCTTGGGCTTTTATGTCGTCTTCTATTCATATCAAGATTTTCCAGAATGTTGTTTGAAGAGGGAATTCATAGTAGTTCTAGCATTGTTGGTTTTAGACATTATTGTTGAAGCCTGGCATGGCCATTGTGTTTGAGCTTTTCTACTCTGACCTCTGAAAACCTTTTTCCAGAAAACTGACTGCTTATCTCTGACCTGTGGCTACACAAAAAGGAGATCGTGGTCAGAAATGAGGGCTCTGTTGTAGTCGTGATGCTGCAAGGTGCTTCTGTGCTGGAATACTGCAAGGCAGGGTTTAAAATATTAAAAGGTGTATGAAATTGAATTGTTTTGATGGGTTTTTTTGGGTTTTTTTTTAAGATTTTATTTATTTTTATTTGAGAGAGAGAGAATGAGAGAGAGGGAGTACATGAGAGGGGGGAGGGTCAGAGGGAGAAGCAGACTCCCCGCTGAGCAGGGAGCCTGATGCGGGACTCGATCCCGGGACTCCAGGATCATGACCTGAGCCGAAGGCAGTCGCTTAACCAACTGAGCCACCCAGGCGCCCCGTTTTGATGGTTTTAATACCCTTCGAGGTTGCTAGGGAAAGCTAGAGTTCTTAATGACCCACTTGAAGAATAAAATGCCCTTGAACCTCTGGGTCAAATGCTGAATTCCTTCTGCAGGTGGGAAAGCTGCACCTTAAGAGGGAGGCCAAGTCTCATTTTTGTGATGACCTTACCCATTTGAAACTTTCCTGGAATCTCTTATCATTAGCTCCCCACCCAAAGGATGAAAAACACCATCTGATTTCCAATTTTTTCCCATCTCTTATTTGAGTTTGCAACTTTCTTGAATAACAGATGGCCAGAAAATGTGTAAGCCCAAATAAAAGCAAAGCATGAGCTTTACTGTATCTTCACTGGTGTCAGTTGCTTTTTAAAATTAAAATTATGTAAATGATCCCTCGGCTTTAAGTAGGAGAGTCAGAAATGAAGGAAACAACCCCAGCACTTGAGAGTGTTTTAGTTTGGGTTGTGTGTAGGGCTTTTTTTTTTTTTTTTTTTTTTTTTTAAAGCTTTTAATGTTTCCTTTTAAAGAGAAAGAGGAGAAGAGGCATTTGGTAGAAGCCTTTTGCGAGTTGCTCATTCACAAAGCACACAGAGTTTCACCAGCAGCCAGCCTAGAATATTAGGCCTGGCAGAAACCGTAGAGATCCTTGTTTTAATTGACTTGAGGAGGGAGGAAAAGATTCTGGAGGAAAAGACCAGAAGAGGGCCTTGCCACTCCGGGCTTGGCATCTTTCTTACCTCAAGGAGTTAAAAGTCTGTGGCTGAGCATGATCAACCAGATGGTCTTGAACAGTAACATGGTTCATATTGTTTAGATTATCCTGTTGCAAGCACCGTGCCTCGTTTACCTTTTATGGAATAAAGTGTGGAAAATTGACCACAGATGTAAGTAACCAAGAATGACGGGGAAGCTGTTGTTACCAGGCCTCCTCTTTTCTCTCCAACACTCCTGATCCTGCAGATAAAAATAAAGAGAGAAATGGGAGGCGGGCCGAAAGCTAGCTTGCCTTACCTCGATGGCGTGGGTCTGAGCACCATCGCCCTCTGCTCTACGACCTCGTAAAGCCACGATTGGCCTCGAGACGCGTGTGCAGGCTGCCCTCCAATGCTGATTTTCCAAGTGCCCTCCAGTGAAAATATCAGACCACGTAAGCAGTTTTTCCATCCTGTTTTGAAAGGCAGGGGGGCAAGGCCAACACACTGCCATGGAGCCCTTCCGCAGCCCTACGTTCCCTGCAGGAGAGAAGTGGGGGGCATTTTGCAGCCCGAGGAGCGCGGATAAATTCTGCATTCCCGTTGCTTTGATCGCTATCTCAGCTGAGGGCTGGGCCAGATTAATTAGAACTAGGCCCTCGTTATTCTCCAGAATGTATTTGTGAGCTTTACAGACGAGCTGGCTACCCAGAATGGGCCAGGCACAGAGAGGGAGCTTGTTGGGACAGGCCTGTGCTTTCCTTTACGGCATGCTTTTTAGGATTATAAAGGCACTTATGCCTTTTTAAACCCTCAGAGGAATATTCCCCAACCAAAGTAATAAACTAGGTTTAATGAAGTCCCTTTGTTTTTGCTCACTCCCTCTCCTTGTACCTCAGTTCTGTGCACGGCTGCCAGGCCCACGTTGACTTTTGCCCCTTGTCCTTCTCTGTGGCACTTGCTGGAACCAGTCAGGTGACGGGGCATCTGCTTGCAGGTCTGGAGGCAGTAAGGGCCAGAATTAGCCACTCGGGTAGCAAGGGGCCTCTGGAAAATGGACGCCACTTCTCAGAGTGGTCTACTGGCTTGTGTTCCCTCTGTGTGGGGCCCGACACAAGATGGGGCCCACTCTTCTGACTGTTTGTGTTTTCTCTCTTCTCGTTCCCATCCGGCTCAGCTCCCCCTTTCTCCTGCCAGGCCCTTCTAGTCATCTCTTCCACCAGGCTCTCCCTCTGGAGTCTTGGCTTTACTGTCAAGAAACCCCCCAACATGACACCCGTAACCCCTTAACCCATTCCTCACAAGCTTTTCCTGGAAACCCCGGCCTGTCTCCGGAACATGGCTTTCTTCCCAAGCTTCTCTGGTTTTCCATGCACCCTTGCAGTTCAGTGTCCTTCAGGACCCCTTGGAAGCCACTCCTCTGTCTCTCTTTTTTTTTAAAGATCTTATTTATTTATTTATTTATTTATTTATTTATTTATTTATTTATTTATTTTATTTATTTTATTTATTTATTTGACAGAGAAAGACACAGCAGGAGAGGGAACACAAGCAGGGGGAGTGGGAGAGGGAGAAGCAGGCCTCCCGCTGAGCAGGGATCCCGATGCAGGGCTTCATCCCAGGACTGTGGGATCATGACCTGAGCCAAAGGCAGACGCTTGCCTGACTGAGCCACCCAGGTGCCCCAGTGGACTTGTGTTTTTTTTGTTTTTTGTTTTTTGTTTTCAAAGATTTTATTTATTTATTTGATAGAGAGGGAACACAAGCAGCGGGAGTGGGAGAGGGAGAAGCAGGCTCCCCGCTGAGCAGGGAGCCCGATGTGGGGCTCGATCCCAGGACCCTGGGATTGTGACCTGAGCCGAGATGCTTAATGACTGAGCCACCCAGGCGCCCGCCTCTCCTCTTTTTAAGCGGAGGTGCCCAGTTAGCCTACCGCCATCTGTTACAAAGTCCTGGGACCTGTGTCGCATTCACTGAGGACTTGGGCACATGGCGTCGTCACACACTCCTTCTGTCCTCCCTGGTGCCCGCAGTAGTCCCCTACTGGTCTGTCCCCCAGCCATGTAGTTCCTCTGTCTTCTCTGCTCCCATGACCGTACTGTCTACTCCTGCACTTGACTTTGCCACCAGGCTCCTGTCCGGAATCACCAACACTTGCCCTCTGAACTTCCCTTCCCTGACTGCAACCTTCCATGTCCTGTTTCTACCACTCTGTCGTTCAACGTAAGGACCTCCAGCTCCTGACCCTCTGTTCTCCCAGATCCTCAGTCCCCTCCCACCCCAGCCTGGTGGGTCATGGATGATTCTAGCCACATTCTCCAGCATCCTCCCCTTCCCCCGCCCGCACCCCCACTCCGCTTGTTCTTCCTCTGCTCCAACTGAGCAATCCCTGCCGAGGGCCTGCTAAGAGCTGCTGGAGATAATCACTTAATCTGTCTAAATGACTCCGGACAAGCCCCTGGCTTCTAACATAACCCCAGCCCTCAGTGCCACCCCTGGCCCTGCTTCTCCGTCAGCTCCTTCTCTTCCCTTCTTCACCAAAGAAGCTCATCGGCAGCGCTGCTTTTTTGTTTCCCCGAATGCATCAAACTGCAATCTGGCTTCTGCTGCTATCGAAATTGCTCCATCGAAGGTTACCTGTGACCCTCCAATTTCCCAGTTTTCCTTCTTCATTTCACAGGGTCTCTCTTCAACCATCCACTTCTTGGAGTGTTCGAGCTCTTCTTCCTCAGCTGTGACAGGTGTCACCCACGGCTCTCCCCCCGCCTGAACCCTTGTTTCATTTTCCCCACTGGCTCTCCCTTTAATTTCTGCTTCCCAAAAAGTGTTATCTATCCCCTTAGTTCCCGTCCTCTGTCCCCCTCTCCTCTCACTCGCAAGACCCTCATCCCACAACATGGGAAGAAATGAAGAGGGTGAACTCTACCAAAGGCCACTTCTGAAAACATCTTTCTCATTAAACACAGATGGGAAACGAAACACCCAGATGACTGGCTAGTGCCTAGCAGTCTGCTTCTGAGAAGATGGGCATGAGTCCCAGGACTGAAAAGTGTTCATTTGGGCAGTAAGAGCCAGTGTGAGGGCGCGTGGGCTCTGGCTGGGCAGAGGGTTTGAGCTGCCATGTTGGGTGTTTGCAATCTCATAGGCCGTCAGGGACGATGAATGGGACGTACCTGGAGCCTGGAGAAGAGTTGCCATTTCAAAAGTTGGGGTGTGTAGTGGAAACAGGTGGAGTTTGGATTTAGACCTTATGTTTCAAATCCTGCTCTCCTCTTACCACTTGTGTGACCTTGAGCAACTGACTTCTCTCCTGGCTGTACCTCTGCATTTTCACTGGCAAAGCAGATAACTTTATCTTCCTCTTCCCAGGATTAGGGATAATGCACATTTTAGGAAGATATTATTATTTGCTAGACTTAATTCAGTGGGATGATTGAGCTGATAGAGGCATGTTCTCTTAGGCTAACCATAAGCCTGACAAACCCGGCAGCCCATCAGAAATCGCTTAATCACCTCTTTTATGGCACTAGGTTCAGGAGTCAATGGAGAGCATGAGCAGAAGTGGTCCCTGCTCTCAGACTGACTGAAACCACACACCATGCAGCTAGAGCCCATTCCCCTCCTCTGTGCATTCAGTAACCATCTCTCATCCAGGTTTCACTGTGTTGGACGGCAGGAGTTCTGGGGGTGGAGAGATGAGTGTGGGCCAGAGTAGACGGGACAAGTGGCCTGGGAGAATCTTTGACTCCCTGGAACAGAAATGTCATGTTAGTACAAAGCAAGTAATGAGTGATATAGTCAGAGGCTTCTGCTAAAGTGAGGTGGGGAAAATTAAAATTGTTACCAGAGGCCCCAGGGAGCCGCTGAATATTTCTGAGTGAGAATACGATGAAGCAGTGTTTTGTTTTGTTTTGTTTTTAAGATTTTATTTATTTTTTTGACAGACACAGAGAGAGAGAGAGGGAACACAAGCAGGGGGAGTGGGAGAGGGAGAAGCAGGCTTTCCGCTGAGCGGGGAGCCCAATGCGGGGCTCGATCCCAGGACCCTGGGATCATGACCTGAGCCGAAGGCAGACACTTAACAACTGAGCCACCCAGGCGCCCCAAAGCAGTGTTTTAAGAAGATTCGTTTAGCTTCCTTATATAGAAGACATTTTTGATTGGGAGGATGCAGCCAGGGAGGCATTGGACAGACTGTTGAAGGAACCAGAACCTGATTTGAAGACATACAGGGTTAGGTTGAGAAGGAAAAGATGGAAATGCAAACTATTTTAAAAGAAAAAATGATTAAAAGTATTAGTGACAGTTTTTATATTCTTAGTGGACACTGACCGGATGTCCTACAATTCAGCTCAGTTATAACAGTGTTTACCTGGAGATAGCATCAGATCCTGCAGGTTACAAGCTTAGTCCTAAAAAAAAAAAAAAAAAAAGCTCAGTCCTACAAGACCATTCCCCACCCCTTACCCCCACTTTAGATGCCACCTGTGTTTCTGACTGAACGACTATAGATTGAAGGCTCCCATGATCCCTTCCTCAAGTTCAATTAATTGTTAGGGTGGCTCACAGAAATCGGAAAAACAGTTTACTTACTAGATTACTGGTTTATTAAGAATATAACCCAGAGGGGTGCCTGGGTGGCTCAGTCCGTTAAGTGGCTGCCTCTGGCTCAGGTCATGATCCCAGGGTCCTGGGATCGAGCCCTGTGTCAGGCTCCATGTTCAGCGGAGAGTCTGCTTCTCCCTCCGCCTCTGCCCCTCCCGCTCCCCTGCTTGTGCTCCCTCTCTCTCTCTCTCTCTCTCAAATAAATAAAATCTTAAGAAAAAAAAAAAAAAACCACAACAACCCAGGCCCAGCCAGATGAAAGAGATGCATAGGGCAAGGTGTGGGGGGAAGGGGCCCAGAGCTTACACGCCCTCTCTCTGGGCACACCACTCTCCCAGTACTTCCCTGTGTTTACCCACTGGAAGGTCTCTGAAGCGGAAGCTCTCCTTTTTGGGGACTTTTGGAGATTTTATTACAAAGGCACTGTTGATTAAATCATTGACCACTGGTGATTGATTCAACCTCCAGACCCTCCCCACTCCCAGAGGTCATGGGGTGGGGTTAAGTGCCAGCCTCTAATCAGGTTGATTTCCCTGGCAACCAGCCCCCATCCTTGGGGGCTTTCCAGAAGTCCCTTCATTAATATAAATTCAGGTGTGGGTGAAAGGGGCTTGTTAAAATATCAGAACTTTGGGGCACCTGGGTGGCTCCATCGTTAAGTGTCTGTCTTCGGCTCAGGTCATGGTCCCAGGGTCCTGGGATCGAGCCCCGCATCAGGCTCCCTGCTCGGCGGGAAACCTGCTTCTCCCTCTCCCACTCCCCCCTGCTTGTGTTCCCTCTCTCACTGTGTCTCTCTCTGTCAAATAAATAAATAAAATCTTAAAAAAAAAAAAAATCAGAACTTTGCTCTTATCACTTAGGAAATTCCAAGAGTTTAGGAGCTCTGTGCCAGAAATGGGGATGAAGACCAAATATATATTTCTTTTTATAAATCATAGTTTCACACAATTGAAAGGAAAAAAAAGGAAAAATGACTTAAAAGTAACTCCGAAGTTTCCTCTGGGATGTTATGAAAATGAAAGTGAGACTTCGTTGTGTGGTAAAATATAACAACATAAATCTTACCATTTTGGCCATTGTTTAAGGGCACAGTTTAGTAGCATTAATCATACTCATGCTGTCGTGCTCCCATCACCACCACAGAAACTTTCATAGCGATTCAATGTTGCTGCAGCATCTGAGCGTGTGATGAATGTGCGTGTATTTGTGTACGCTTTGTTATTTCAACATTTTCTGGTAATAATTTATTTTATCATATATTGCAAAATATCAGTCTACAATGATTTGGAAATTTAAAAAAAGAAAGAAAGAAACTGGTCCTTTTCTTCAGATTGCTTGATAAACACTCTTCTAGAGGAATAAGAAAGGTAAAAGTCCCTGGGAAGGAAGAAGTGAGGTTGAGGAAGGGTATCCTCTCTCCTCCTCGGCCAGACAAGAGCCTGTACATTCTCAAAGCTCACCTCCTGGGTCCTTCCCTCCAAGAAGCCTTCTCTTCCCAACCTCCCCCCCAAACCCCCAGGCCTCACCAGAGACTAATCAGCCCTCATGCTGCCACTGCCCCGTGGACATATTTCTACTGCTGTCATCGTGGTACTGTATGAACTGACCATCTTGGTGGGCTCCCCCACTAGAATATGAGCTCTGTGTGGAAACCATGGCCTTTTCATCTCTATATCCACATTGCCTTGCACACAGTAGGTGCTCCGTGAAGGTTTGCTCACATGAAATCAAATTGAATTGGAAGAGTAGTCTTGAATGGTGGATATAAGGCAAGGTGGGTATATTTTATAGATAAAGGAGCATCAGGGCCATGCTTGGCATCCAAGATCCTTCGGGAAGGAGGAGACTATTCATCTGTTATGAGTAGAACATGTGGAGAAGACATGGAAGCCGAAGCCCAGAACTGGACTTGGGCAGCCTGTGTGGGAAATGTTTGCCAGGGAGGCAAAGAAAAGAAAAGAGGGAAGGACAGTAGCATGATCTCTGCTGAAGCATTCGTCATAGTTTCTTCATCAATATCCAATCATCAGATATACTTCAAACTTTCTCATTCATTAATTTATTCACTTATTCAGCAGATATCCACTAAGGGCCTACTCTGTGTCCAGCTTCATGCTACAGACTTTACTTACATTATCCCTAACCCCTGAAAACGCTTTCAAGGTAGGTATCTCCATTTTCTAGAAGAGGCTCAGAAAATGGAGTTATTTGCCCCAATGAAGGCAGCTAGTCAGTGGCAGAATCAGATTTTGAATCCAGAGCTTGAATCCCTCCTGCTTTGCACGGTATCAGGAGGCTGATGCTCCATAAATGTTTGTTGGATCCATTCTAGGAAAACGTGGACCAGAATGGGAAGAAAAGGGAGAGAAGTGGCAGTTTGAAGTTAGGGATTGGCTCAGCCAGTTCACAGGCGATTGATGAAGAATGCAGCTGGGGTAGGCACTGTGGAGCCTGAGTGGCTCATGTCTCTGGGAGGAACTCATGAGAGGGGCTGCATGGGTAAGACTGTTTAGGATGGAGAGAGGACAGATTTGGGGATGTGGCAGAGGATGGAGAGAGGACAGATTTGGGGATGTGGCAGAGGAGACCCCCACTAGTTCCGGTCCCAGGGGGACTTTATGAACAGTAACTGCTGATTTCTGAGCTGAATGTGTCCTAATGCACTTTCCTTTCCTGGGACATAAGGATGGATGGGAAATGGGACCACTCTGCTGATTCTCCTTCAGAACTACATGGCAGGAGAAAGGGAAGGAGATCCCTGCTGTCTGTGAGCAGCGTTTTGTACAGACCATCTTCACTGCATTTACCATTACTGCCTGTGGACTTCACTCTTGATTTGGTCTCAGGCTTCCCCTTTAGGAAGTGGTTGAAACATGATTGGATTAACCAGGGTTGGTCTTAGCTATACTGGGGGCATGAAGTCGTTGTCTACCTGACTTGCCTTCTTTGGGGATGGCAGCACCCAGAGAGCTAGCTGAAGGAGCAGGCTTGGGAGGCCATGCTTTAGACCTTGTTTGGGTCTCTGACCCCAGAGCAGCCAGTCCCCGTCACTGCCTTGCAGTCAACTCTAGTGGTTTTCCAAGGTCCCTATCACAGCCTCTAGACCCTACTTGTGTTGGCCCATGTCATGTCTCCCACCTCATTTCCTGTTATTTCCCCTTGCTTCCTCCACACCAGCTCCACAGGCCTCCTTGCTCTTTACACATGCCAAGTCAGTTTCCATCCCATAGCCTTTTCACTTTCTGTTCCCTCTTCCGGAATGTTCCTTCTGCCATGTATTTGTATATCCTGCTCCTTCACTCAAATCTCTTTAAATGCCCACCCTTCCCATCAGGCCTTACCACCTATTTACAAACAGCACTTCCTGTTTCCCTTTATCCCGTTGCCCTGATCTGTTTGCCTTTATAACCTACCATTGCTGGCGTAACATATGTATTTGCTTGCCTTTTCATTGTCTCTCCCCTTCACTAGAACGTGAACTCCCTGTGAGCGATAGATCTTGTTCATTGTTGCATCCCCACAGCACCTAGAATGATCCTTCATACATTGGATGTGCTCAGTTATTACTTGCTGAATGAATGAATGACCAGCGACTAGCTTCTCTCAGGAATCTGAACGAAGGACATAGTGACTTTCTTGGTTGCTGATAGGTTCTGGCCATGTGGGGTCAGTCAGGCTTGGGGCTGATAGCCATGTTCATCCCATGTAAGCACAGGAAGCTGGTCAAGATCAAAAGACAAGCTGAGCTGGGGCGCCTGGGTGGCTCAGTTGGTTAAGCATCTGATTCTTGATTTTGGCTCAGGTCATGATCTCAGGGTCCTGAGATCAAGCCCACAGTTGGGCTCTGTGCTCAGCAGGGAGTCTGCTTAAGATTCTCTCTCTCCCTTGACCTCTGCCCGTCTCCATGCTCACTCACGGGGGTGTGTGTATATGTGTGTGTGTGTGTGTGTGCTTTCTCCCCTCAAAATAAATAAAATCTTAAAAAAAAAAAAAAAAGAGAAAGAGAAGCTGAGGGGAGAGAGCCCAGGTGTCCCTTGAAAGGGGAGGAGAAGGTTTTGCTGGCTGGGGGGGCTTCTCTCTTTCCCATTGTGTCCTGATATATTTGTATTTGTTTTGCTCATTGACTTGTCTGAGGATTTGTATTCGTTTTTTCCTCCTGCAGGACAAATTATCACAAATTTCGCAGCTTCAGGCCACACCCGTTTATTATCTCACAGTCCTGTAGGTCAGAAGTCCGGGTGGGCTGGGTTCTCTGCTCAGGGTCTCTCTCACAAGACTGAAATTAAGGTATTGGCGAGACTGGCCTCTTATCTGGAGGCCCTGGGGAAGAATTCGCTTCCAGACTCCTTCTAGCTTGTTGGCAATCTTCAATTCTTTGCAGTTGTAGGATTGAGTCCCTATTTCCTTGTTGGCTTTTGGCAGGGGCTGCTCTCAGCTCCAAGAGGCCCCTCTCAACTCCTTGCCATGTGGCCCCCTCCACATCCAGTTGCTCCCACAGCTCTCTGACTTCCTCTTCTGCTACCAGCAGGAGAAAACTCTGTCCTTTTAAAGGGTTTGTGTGATTAGGTTAGGCTCTAGGCTTGCCTGGATAATCTATTGATTGACTCGAAATCCACTAACCAGGAACTTAATTATATCTGCAAAATTCCTTTTGCCTTGTAATCTAACATTATCAGAGCATAACATCTCATCATACTTACAGTCCTAGCATTAGGATAAAGAATCTTGGGGGACCATTTTAGCATTCTGCCTACCACAGTATTTATTTTTTAATAGCCTTTAATTAATTAACTTGAAGAGGGGATAAAAGGCGGGGGTGGGGGGTCTGTCATTTGCAACCAAAGAGCAATGGCTGTGGTCCACAGAGGCCTAGCCTTGGGGAGTGGAGGTGGGGGGATGCAGTTAGAAACTTTGTCTTCCTGACCTCTGCTAAATTGTGGTTCTTTATTTTTCCTCTGGAATCGAGTTCAGAATATAGAGATGTAAAAGATTAGACCATCTGCCATACTTCAGATGCCAAAAATAATGAAAATAGCTCTTTGCCTCCAAACTCTGGTAGAAAACTTTTTTTTTTTTTAAATGCTTTTCCTTGCAGCTCACTGTCCAAGTGAGATCATTGGTGATCCCGAGCCTTTTCCCATGACTTAATTGATGAGGCGAGGACCGCCCAGCTAAATCTCACAGAATACATTCTGAAGGTAATTGGCTGAAAGCCTTCAGGCTCTTGTTGAAATGAGTGGTTTTGGTTAATCCACACCATAAAGCTGGAAAGCTATTATGTATGTATATTTTTGTCCTGAGGTATTATCAAGAATTTCCATATAGAAGGAAATAAATTGTGGTTTGGGAATGAAAAAAAAATTTTTAAAGAATAATGTAAGACATAAACTCTGTTTCCTGTAGATGTAAATCAGAACAAGTTTGAAAGCCTTTTGTGACTCAGAGAGAGGTCACCGACCCAATCCGCTGAGGGAGGCAGGGGGACACAAAACGGTTACATTTTGGTGATTTTTTCCTCTGCTGCTGTTAGCTCTTCTGTTTGTGCAATGTGACAGTTTTCCAGAACGCTGTAGGAACTTGGAGATATGCAACGGCTCTCCAGGTCACTGCCTAGCTTCAAACACAGATAGCAGTAGCTGAGCGGCAAGCGTAGTGTGTGGTAAATGGGGGGGGAGGGGGGGACTCGCGGAGGTAAGCTTACTTTGTGGAAAATTGCCAGCAGGTTGAAGGGTTGTGAGATGATCGAATCCTAGAGAGCCTCAGAGTTGGAAGGAGCCTCACCCCTTGTAGGCTAGTGGTGCCCTTATTTGATGCATGGACCGGCTCAATAACAGAGACAGGAGGGCATCAGCTCTGCTTGATCCTACTCTTTACAGTGAGTCAGAAGAAATAAAGAGGCAGCAGCTGTGAATGAAGATAAGGAGTCCTAGGCCTCGGGTAGTGCCTGGTGCTGCTGCTGGAGGACCGGGCACAATTGAGTCTCAGTGCCAATTGATGAAAATGATATCTAGTTAGCAGGGTTATAGAATTAAGGAAGACGTGTGGGCAAGCTTTGTAAAGCATCAGGCAAACATAAGCTATTGTATTGTATTAGTGGTATTAATAGGAAGACATTGAGACCACCACCCAGGGTGGTGGATGGTCAATGTCTGAAGAAAAGGTACATGGAGCCCCAGACAGGTATAGGAAATGCAGGGGAAAACATTGTGTTCTCGAAACCAACAAATATAACACTAGGAGCTTGAAACTGCTTTAAAAAGGGAGGAAGGAATAGCCACTGTGCAGGACAGAAGCCTCGGGCCCAAGACAGAAAGCCCGCACTGCTCAGGTGTACATAGCTATGCCAGTTAGAACTCTGGACAGCGCAGCCTAACACCTGGGCTCTAATGAGCCTACTCGCCAGGCTCCCCGAGAAACCAGAGGCCAAGCTTGAGTCTGAGGACCCGAGGGGACAAGAGCCTGCCCTGGAGCTGCCTCAATGAAATAAAGGCAGTTTCCCTAGCCATTGGACGGTGGTATCCAACTGGTCCGCGTTGCTTGTTGACTTAACTTCTTTAAACATGTCTATCCCAAACTGTTTCCTCTCTTGGGTGACACTTTACCCCTGCAGATGGAGGATTCAAAGAGAGAGAGCTGAACCCTTGGCTTTTGGCCATAACAGAGTTAAGTGCATTTGTTCATTTCTTTATTCCAATAGCATTTATTTTTTTATTTTTTATTTTTTTTTAAGAGAGAGAGAGACAGCAAGAGAGGGAACACAAGCAGGGGGAGTGGGAGAGGGAGAAGCAGGCTTCCCGCTGAGCAGGGAGCCTGATGTGGGACTCGATCCCAGGACCCTGGGATCATGACCTGAGCCGAAGGCAGACGCTTAACGACTGAGCCACCCAGGCACCCCCTCCAATAGCATTTATTGATGCCGCTCTTACTCAACCCTGTTCTGGGCCCCGAGGAATCAGAGATGCAGCCTAATGGCTGTCATATGGGAACAAGTGTAGTTTACTCTTGGCTTTCCCTCCTCTATGCCCTCAGCCAACAGTGATTTAATAGTCACCACGGCTCCTGGTTTCTGTCCCAAAGATCTTGTTTCCAGGCATACTTCCTCTCCTCTATGTTCAAGTTATAGCTTGAACCCTGTTTCTCCTTCAGAGCCTTACCAAATCTTCTCATGCACGTGGATCACCATTTGCTTGTTGTCTCTGCCCTAAGTTTACTGTCTCTGATCGCATTCCCGTTGGCCTCATCCTTTTCAGCCTGGTTCGATAGTCCCGAGCCTGGCTTCGTGGGTGCTCGTCGAGCTGAATGTAGGGCTTGTCACTTCCAGCCCTGTGGGGCAGCTACAGGGAGGCAGGTTTGAATTTCCTGTTCCTCACCTTCTCTCTGCTCTGGTTTCCCTGGAGAGTGGGCGTATCGGTGTTGCCCCCAAGTGGTATGGACTTGGCAGAAGTGGAATTCACGTTGTCAGTGGGAACGTGCAGTAGGGCATCAGGCAGTGCTGTGGTTAAAGCAGAAAACGGAGGCATGGCAAGGTACTCCAGACAGCACCGTAAGCCCAGGTTCAAGGGCCAAGAAGAAATGAGACTCCACTAATGAAGGTGTGGGGGACCAGGAATAGGAAGATCTAATAATTATCAGCTAGTGCTTGTGATGACTGATCCCATCTTTATGTATAATGACACTCAGTCCAGAATGTCCCAAAGGCATGATATAGTCTCTGGCATTCCAGTTGCTCCTAAAGAAAGAAGTCACTGGCTGTTGCCAGCCTAGGTGAACCTTGAGGCATTCCAAGACTTTGGCCCTGGCCTGGGGGAAAGGAAAGCAGCTGAGATGGGGTACAACCAGGATGGGAGCTTCAGGATTGCAAGATGGTGTGAGCGGCTGGGTTGCAGTGCCTGTGGTCTGTCCACGGTGGAGCCATCCTATAGTCAGTGGGGGGAATTGAGAGATCCTTTCTTCCATGGAAGGGTCTGGCAGAGGTTTTTGTCAAGGCCTGAGTGGTTACTGAAATCCAGAGACAGGAAAAACAGTATGAGGGGGATGAGGGGGTCCACTTAGCAGACAGAGCCTATGTCCTTGCGTCATGGTGACTCCACAACAAAGGAATCAGGAAATAAATACCCCAAGTTCCTCTCTCTCTCCTGGTCTTCTTGGAGCTCTTCCCATTGAAGCTCTTCCCATTGACTGAACTTCAGCTGAAGGCAGAAGGCAAGTGTGCCCATTAATGCAGCCACTCCTGGGCAGGAAGCAGGGAGAGGAACGAAGAGATGGATCTAGAGGGACAACAGTAGGGGTTAGAAACAGAACTAATTCTGGATCCTTTTTTTTTCCAGTGGGACTGACCCTATGGACATCCTGCCAGCCCTAGTAAGGCTGGGCTCAGGACTCAGGTGAGGTGAGCCTCGGGCTAGAAATCTCTGTTGCTTAGAGTTGACAGGAGCTGAGAAAAGAGGGCCTGGCACTGCACCTTTAAAGTAACAGCTTGCTCCATACATACGGGGGCCATATGTCCTCAATTTTCCAGGACAGTCTCGATTTCAAATATTCTGTCCCATTCTGCCCATAAGAATACTGGCACTTGTCAGAGCACATGCTCCAATTTTTGATTCAGAAAATATGGTCACTGTATCCCTATACCACAACAAATGCCAGATGGTTTAAAGAGCTAAGTTTTTTTTTTTTAATGGTATACTTATCCCAATTGTTGAGAAAAGACAATTTTCTGACTATTGAAGCAATTGAAGAAATTATCAGTGCCAAGTTTGACGGGTTCAATTGCATTTAAAAGAGAAAACTTTTTTTTTAAAAAAAGAAAATCAACAAAACTAAAAGATGAAAAGAGAAGCAACAGATTGGGGAAATAGTTGCAGTAAACCTAACAGCTAAAAACTTAATACCCAGACACTTTGGAGTTTTATATAAAGCTTAAAGGGCACAATCAAGACTTCACTGGACAGATGATCAAAGATATGAGTAGACAATTCACACAAGCGAAACATTCACTGCAAACAAATCCCAGCAAGGGATTTTAATAAATTCAGGTTAACACAACTTTGACTTACTCTATCACACCTATCACATTATCAAAAATAAACAAAAGCTATAAAATATAACATGGGCAGGGCTTTGTGGATACATGCATTTCAGAAGGCATTAAAAGTTCTCTTTCCTTTTTCCTCCTAGAGAACAGTGTGATGATATGTAACATCACAAAAACAATCCACCACTCTGACTCAACAAGTCCACTTTTGGAACTATGTCCTAAGGAAAAAATATTGTTTAGTTAGTTAAATAAATCTTTATTTTAATATAAGTTAAATATATATATATATATAAATTAAATATATAGATATATATTTAAGCGAGACCAAAACAACCCAAATTACCAACAATTATGTGATATAAATATCTCACCTACAGTGAAACATCCCAAAGTGCCAACAATTGTATGATGATTAAATGTAATAGTCTAAGATAAATAAAATATTTTATCATTAAAACACCAAATATGTTCGCTTTGTGATGAGAGAAGATATATTTTAAAATGTTAAAATAAAATTTTAAAATATATTTAAAATGTTAAATATATTGGCCGTACTGATTACGGTCATGTGAGAGCTAGTTTTGTCTAATTATAAGGATCAGATAAAAGTTTAAATTGTATAGTTCCTCGATTTCCTATAGTAAAAGTGTATTCTGTGGTGTTTGGCAGATTGCAGCATTACTATGGGTGCAGACAGTCTAAATGTAGCCAGATTTTCCACAAAAATAGAAGAGTCAGAACAGGGCTTAGACTCCGGTCTTCTGTAAATTGTCTCAGGGTGAATGCTGGCTGCGTCTTTAGATAGATCTCCATTCAAGATGGGTAGCTGCTTCCAGTGTGGTGCTGTATTCTTCGTCTGGAGAACGCTCTGTCTGTCCTCTGTCTCTGTTCCTTGTGTCCTGAATGGGACCGATGAATGCCCAGGTGCCTGGTTCTAACAGGTGGTGAGCTTCCTTCCGTGTGTTACTCAAATCCTCAAATGTAGCAGTACATACTCAACCATAAAATCAAGATCCATTCACATAAAGATCAATCTAGTTACCCCCGCTGAAGGGAAAAGCGAATACAATCTCTAGTGTCTATTTTTGTGGTATTTTTAATGCCTCAAATGCTAATCTGTTAAAAGGAGGAAGGGCAGGGAGAGGGTTCGTTGCGCAGATGTGAAACTTGTAAATACCAAACCCCATGGGTCTCCTAAAACATGCAGCCAGTGCGTGGCCGACTCTTGGATCTCTGGCATACCTCTTGTCCCCCAGCGGGAAGAGAGAGGCCAGAGCACACTGCTGAACCCCAAGCTCTGCACACAGGTCCCTATCTGTTGGGGTACATTGATTTCCTCTGGGAAATCCAGGTCCCACTGATACCTTGTTATTGGGGCAGCGGCTCCCGTAGACGTTAAGTACTTATATGCAGACCCCTTGAGAGTGTGGGATTCCACAGCTCATTTTCTCTGTGACCTCGAGTAAAGTGCTTGACGCCTGAATTTTCATAGCAGAAACAGATTGGAGGGAGAGACTGAGGACGGTTGGTGTGAGTGCTCTGAGTTCAGTCGCTAGCTCTGAAAGTGGATCCCATGTATAGTATGAAAATTTATAAAAGGTGAAAGAGAGGTGCCTGCATGGCTCAGTCAGTTAAGTGTCTGCCTTCAGCTCAGGTCATGATCCCAGGGTCCTGGGATCGAGTCCCCTGCTCAGCGGGGAGCCTGCTTCTCTCTCTCTCCGCCCTGCTCGCGCTCTCTCTCTCTCAAATAAATAAATAAAATATTTAAAAAATAAATAAATAAAAGTTGAAAGAAAGAGAAAATAGAAACCCTGTAGGGTTCCAGTTATCCATCATAAAGACCACTCCTGGTCGTCAGGGAATGGGCATGAGTTTTGAATTCAGCAGGACCACCTTTCAGATGCCTTACTGCCTCTTCCTCATACGGGACATGTTCTTGACAATGTCTACCTCTTAGGATGGCTGTGAGTTAAAATTAAATAGTTCTATGGAAAGCACATAAATGAATGTATAGTACAGAATAAACCTTCAGTCAGTATTTGTTTTCCTATCCCCCCATCACCTGATAGGGTGTCTAGCAAATGGCAGGTGCTCCATTTATCATGTGTATACATTATCACTGAGTCACACGTGCAGAGCTGCCATCTGATTCATCTACCACACAACAGCGATAACCAGACACAGAGAATGTGATTCTGTTGGTTATAGGGGGGCATAGCCAGTTACCAACAACGGAAGGGGAAAGGCAGGGAGGGATGGGACGTGGATCTGACTCTTTCCTCAGTGATAGGATTGCACTCAGATTGCTGATCCACATGCTCACAGTGAAGATACAGTCTGGCCACCATGGGGTACAGCGATCTCTGATCACCACCCCAACACAGCAGCATCAGTGAAGGGTCCACAATGAAACAGTGGCTCTCGCATCAGACAGATTGAGTCCAGCAGCAGGAGTTTGAAGGGAAGATGCTCAGATGTGCAGAAAAGCAGGTGACAACCCCAAGCAGCCTGACTCTAGGTGGGGGTACTTGTGCAGGGCTTGGGGTGGTGTGCTAAGCAAATTCTGGGACAGGGATCAAGGCAGAAGGTCAACAGTAAGAACTTGGGTAATGCAGTGGGACTGCCTTTAGTATTGGAATGAAGCACTGTATTGGGGTCAAATGATGATGCTGTGGAGCCCAGGACAGCCTCAAGTCAAGTTGGATCCTGAAAACTGAGGCAGGAGTGAGTTACCAATGAGGGTCCAATGGTCTCAGTCATGGGGAAGAGATGGGATGCAGCAGCTGGGAGTCAGGGTGGACCAGACATTATACCTCTTCGAAGGCAGATTCACTTGTTGCTACTTGGTTAAAATTTGGATTCACCTCCACAGATGTCAGTGATCATTGCTCCAAAGTTCTTCAGGGGTGACCTTGAAGGTTCCATTTCCCTGGTCCCTTCCCTAAATCAGTGTAGGGTAACACTTAGCCAAGAACCTCTAGCAGGATTTTGGTGAAAGAAGAGAACCGTATATAATGGAAAATTATATTTGATAAATTGCTTTTATTTGGGTTTATTCATGATGTTTGTTTTGAAGTCTCAAATCTCAATAAAGTGATTTTATGTTTATCAAAAGGAATATAGATTCAAAATGGTCATGAAGCAGTATTTATGGCCCCTCTTCTAAGCTGCCTTTGCTGGCTTTCTGTTGACAGGCTCCCTCCTTGACCTCCTGTTGCTTTTTTCTCATGACCACAGATTCTAGATCTTCACTGTTTCCCTTCTTCCTGGTACATTACACTTCCCAGCTGGACCATTAGTTCTCTGTGGGGGCGGTTTTTCCTCCTAGGTGGCATTAGGCAATGTCTTGAGACATTTTTGATTGTCATGGCTAGGGCAGGGATGGGTGGATACTCCAGGCATTTGGTAGGTAGAGGCCAGGGATACTACTAAAAACCCTACAATGCACAGCACCACCCCCTAAAACAAAGAATTATCCGGTCCACAACATCAGTAGTGCTTCTATTGAGAAATCCTGCGATAGACTGTAAGCGTATTATGAGCTGACATCACCACTAGCAGCTAACATTTATCAAACTCTTACTGTGAGTTTACTCTTGCTGCATTTTCCCAAACATTTTCTACCTATTAACTCATTTAATCTTTTTTGTTAGGAATTACTGTTACTCCATTTTACGAATGGGAGACGTGAAACATGAGGAAGTTAGGTAACTGACCCAAGGTCACACAGCTAGGTAACTGGTAAGGCCGCTCAGTAATGAGAATAGTCATAGTAATAGCAATGGAATTTGTCTTAATATGTATTAAGCCAAGGGCTTTGCAGGTATTGACCCATTTCATCTTTGCCACAATCGCCTGGGATAGATACCCTATAATACCCACTTCAGATATGCAGAAACTAGGACTTGGTGGGGCTTGCCTTGTAATTATGAATTTGTACATTTTCAAAATAAGTGTCCATCTCCCCCACTGCACTGTGATCCTAAGAATGCAGGGACCTTATTGCTTTCTTGCTCCTTGGAGTAAGCCCACTCTTTAGCTCAGGATCTACCACAAGTGATTGAAGGACAAGGGAATGAAATGGTGGGGTGTTAGATGCCCACGGATGCCCTCTGCCCTGGTGCTTCCCTATGATTGCTGCCCTCCACTGGAATTTAGATGCTACCCCCATGAAAGGGTCTGGTACTCATCACCAAGTTGAGTCCTAAAAGTGGTGGGGACGGGTCCAGA